GACTCCTTACAGTATATAGAGAGACTCCATACAGTATAAATAGAGACTCCATACCATATATATAGAGACTCCATACCGTATATATAGACTCCATACATTATATATATAGAGTGACTCCATACAGTATATATAGAGACTCCATACCGTATATATAGAGACTCTATACCGTATATATATAGACTCCATACATTATATATATAGAGTGACTCCATACAGTATATATAGAGACTCCATACCGTATATATAGAGACTCCATACCGTATATATAGAGACTCCATACATTATATATATATAGAGTGACTCCATACAGTATATAGAGAGACTCCATACAGTATATATAGAGACTCCATACAGTATATATAGAGACTCCATACATTATATATATAGAGAGACTCCATACATTATATATATAGAGAGACTCCATACAGTATATATAGAGACTCCATACCGTATATATAGAGACTCCATACCGTATATATAGAGACTCCATACATTATATATATATAGAGTGACTCCATACAGTATATAGAGAGACTCCATACAGTATATATAGAGACTCCATACAGTATATATAGAGACTCCATACATTATATATAGAGAGACTCCATACATTATATATATAGAGAGACTCCATACAGTATATATATAGAGAGAGACTCCATACAGTATATATAGAGAGACTCCATACAGTATATATAGAGACTCCATACAGTATATATAGAGACTCCATACATTATATATATAGAGAGACTCCATACAGTATATATAGAGACTCCATACAGTATATATAGAGACTCCATACAGTATATATAGAGACTCCATACAGTATATATAGAGAGACTCCATACATTATATATATAGAGAGACTCCATACAGTATATAGAGAGACTCCATACAGTATATATAGAGACTCCATACAGTATATATAGAGACTCCATACATTATATATATAGAGAGACTCCATACAGTATATATAGAGACTCCATACAGTATATATAGAGAGACTCCATACAGTACATAGAGAGACTCCATACAGTATACAGTTGAAGTCGGAAGTTTACATACACCTTAGCCAAATACATTTAAAATCAGTTTTTCACAATTCCTGACATTTAATCCTAGTAAAAATTCCCTGTCTTAGGTCAGTTATGATCACCACTGTCACGATCGTCGTAGGGAATAGACCAAGGCGCAGCGTGATGAACGAACATGTTTATTTATCTTTAGTGATAAATACTGACAATGAAACAAAACAACAAACGACTCGTAACGTCCTAGGTAACATAGACCAACACGGAACAAGAACCCACAAACACAAAGGGAAAACAGACAGTTTAAATATGGCTCCCAATCAGAGACAACCAGCCACAGCTGACACTCGTTGCCTCTGATTGGGAGTCACTCAGGCCAACATAGAAATAAACAAACTAGAACTCCCAACATAGAAATATAACACATAGAATGAACACACCCTGGCTCAACATATAGAGTCCCAGAGCCAGGGTGTGACAACCACTTTATTTTAAGAACATGAAATGTCACAATAATAGTAGAGAGAATGATTTATTTCAGCTTTTATTTATTTCATCACATTCTCAGTGGGTCAGAAGTTTACATACACTCAGTTAGTATTTGGTAGCATTGCCTTTAAATTGTTTAACTTGGGTCAAACGTTTCGGGTAGCCTTCCACAAACTTCCCACAATAAGCTGGGTGAGTTTTGGCCCATTCCTCCTGACAGAGCTGGTGTAACTGAGTCAGGTTTGTAGGCCTCCTTGCTCGCACACGCTTTTTCAGTTCTGCCCACACATTTTCTATAGGATTGAGGTCAGGGCTTTGTGATGGCCACTCCAATACCTTGACTTTGTTGTCCTTAAGCCATTTTGCCACAACTTTGGAAGTATGCTTGGGGTCATTGTCCATTTGGAAGCCCATTTGCGACCAAGCTTTAACTTCCTGACTGATGTCTTGAGATGTTGCTTCAATATATCCACACAATTTTCCTTCCTCATGATGCCATCTATTTTGTGAAGTGCACCAGTCCCTCCTGCAACAAAGCACCCCCACAGCATGATGCTGCCACCCCCGTGCTTCACGGTTGGGATGGTGTTCTTTGGCTTGCAAGCATCTCCCTTTTTCCTCCAAACATAACGATGGTCATTATGGCCAAACAGTTATATTTGTGTTTCATCAGACCAGAGGACATTTCTCCAAAAAGTACAATCTTTGTCCCTATGTGCAGTTGCAAACCGTAGTCTGGCTTTTTTATGGCGGTTTTGGAGCAGTGGCTTCTTCCTTGCTGAGCGGCCTTTCAGGTTATGTCGATATAGGACTCGTTTTACTGTGGATATAGATACTTTTGTACCTGTTTCCTCCAGCATCTTCACAAGGTCCTTTGCTGTTGTTCTGAGATTGATTTTCACTTTTTGCACCAAAGTACGTTCATCTCTAGGAGACAGAACGCGTCTCCTTCCTGAGCAGTATGACGGCTGCGTGGTCCCATGGTGTTTATACTTGCGTACCATTGTTTGTACAGATGAACATGGTACCTTCAGGCGTTTGGAAATTGCTCCCAAGGATGAACCAGACTTGTGGAGGTCTACAATTTTTTTTCTGAGGTCTTGGCTGATTTCTTTTGATTTTCCCATGATGTCAAGCAAAGGGGCACTGAGTTTGAAGGTAGGCCTTGAAATACATCCACAGGTACACCTCCAATTGACTCAAATGATGTCAATTAGCCTATTAAAAGCTTCTAAAGCCATGACATAATTTTCTGTAATTTTCTGGAATTTTCTAAGCTGTTTAAAGGCACAGTCAACTTAATGTATGTAAACTTCTGACCCACTGGAATTGTGATACAGTGAATTATAAGTGAAATAATCTGTCTGTAAACAATTGTTGGAAAAAGTGTCATGCACAAAGTAGATGTCCTAACCGACTTACCAAAACTATAGTTTGTTAACAAGAAATTTGTGGAGTGGTTGAAAAACGAGATTTAATGACTCCAACCTAAGTGTATGTAAACTTCCGACTTCAACTGTATATAGAGACTTCATACAGTATATATATATAGAGACTCCATACAGTATATATAGAGACTCCATACAGTATATATAGAGAGACTCCATACAGTATACATAGAGACTCCATACAGTATATACACTACCGGTCAAAAGTTTTAGAACACCTACTCATTCAAGGGCTTTTCTATATTTTTACTATTTTCTACAATGTAGAATAATAGTGAAGACATCAAAACTATGAAATAACACATATGGAATCATGTAGTAACCACAAAAGTGTTAAACAAATCTAAATATATTTTATATTTGAGATTCTTCAAATAGCCACCCTTTGCCTTGATGACAGCTTTGCACACGCTTGGCATTCTCTCAACCAGCTTCACCTGGAATGCTTTTCCAACAGTCTTGAAGGAGTTCCCACATATGCTGAGCACTTGTTGGCTTCTTTTCCGTCACTCTGCGGTCCGACTCATCCCAAACCATCTCAATTTGGTTGAGGTCGGGGGAGGCCAGGTCATCTGATGCAACACTCCATCACCCTCCTTCTTGGTAAAATAGCCCTTACACAGCCTGGAGGTGTGTTGGGTCATTGTCCTGTTGAAAAACAAATGATAGTCCCAAACCAGATGGGATGGCATATCGCTGCAGAATGCTGTGGTAGCCATGCTGGTTAAGTGTGCCTTGAATTCGAAATAAATCACAGACAGTGTCACCAGCAAAGCACCCCCACACCATAACACCTCCTCCTCCATGCTTTACGGTGGGAAATACACATGCGGTGATCATCCGTTCACCCACACCGCGTCTCACAAAGACACGGCGGTTGGAACCAAAAATCTCAAATTTGGACTCCAGACCAAAGGACACATTTTCACCGGTCTAATGTCCATTGCTTGTGTTTCTTGGCCCAAGCAAGTCTCTTCTTCTTATTGGTGTCCTTTAGTAGTGGTTTCTTTGCAGCAATTCGACCATGAAGGCCTGATTCACACAGTCCCGTCTGAACAGTTGATGTTGAGATATGTCTGTGACCTGAACTCTGTGAAGCATTTATTTGGGCTGCAATTTCTGAGGCTGGTAACTCTAATGAACTTATCCTCTGCAGCAGAGGTAACTCTGGGTCTTCCATTCCTGTGGCGGTCCTCATGAGAGCCAGTTTCATCATAGCGCTTGATGGTTTTGCGACTGCACTTGATGAAACTTTAAAAGTTCTTGAAATGTTCCGTATTGACTGACCTTCATGTCTTAAAGTAATGATGGACTGTTGTTTCTCTTTGCTTATTTGAGCTTTTCTTGCCATAATATGGACTTGGTATTTTACCAAATAGGGCTTCTGTACACCCACCTACCTTGTCACAACACAACTGATTGGCTCAAACGCATTAAGAAGGAAAGAAAGTCCACACATTAACTTTTAAGGCACACCTGTTAATTGAAATGCATTCCAGGTGACTACCTCATGAAGCTGGTTGAGAGAATGCCAAGAGTGTGCAAAGCTGTCATCAAGGTAAAGGGTGGCTATTTGAAGAATTTGCTAAACACTTTTTTGGTTACTACATGTTCCATATGTGTTATTCATAGTTTTACATCTACAATGTAGAAAATGGTAAAAATAAAGAAAAACCCTTGAATGAGTAGGTGTTCTAAAACTTTGGACCGGTAGTGTATATATAGAGACTCCATACAGTATATATAGAGACTCCATACATTATATATATAGAGACTCCATACAGTATTTATAGAGAGAGACTCCATACAGTATATATAGAGACTCCATACAGTATATATAGAGACTGCTGAAAGCAGCCCCAGGTTAGTACAGCAAGCTGAGCGTGGAGCAGCCCTATTGAGAAGCCGGTGACTGTAGACAGCAAAAGAGGCAGAGGATGGATGTGGAGGGAATGGAGGGGGTTACTTGTCAGTGTCCTGCCAGCCAGACCCAGCCGTCACAGACCGACCGACGTAGTCCCCTTACCTGCGGTCACTCTTCGCCCTCCTCGGGCGTGATCTCAGTCTCTTTGTGGACCACTACTTTGGTTACTGACATGTCAGGGTGCTCCTTTTTGGCCTCCTTTATGGCCTGAGCCAAGGCCTACAGACAGACAGACAGTATGCCGAACACCCCATGGAGGGAAACAGAGAGGAAGGTGGAATGGGTATGATCAGAATCACAAGGGCAAGGGTTGGACTAGTCGCTGTGTGGTTGGTTACACCTCTGTCGCTGTGTGGTTGGTTACACCTCTGTCACTGTGTGGTTGGGTACACCTCTGTCACTGTGTGGTTGGGTACACCTCTGTCACTGTGTGGTTGGTTACACCTCTGTCGCTGTGTGGTTGGTTACACCTCTGTCACTGTGTGGTTGGGTACACCTCTGTCACTGTGTGGTTGGGTACACCTCTGTCACTGTGTGGTTGGGTACACCTCTGTCACTGTGTGGTTGGTTACACCTCTGTCACTGTGTGGTTGGGTACACCTCTGTCACTGTGTGGTTGGGTACACCTCTGTCACTGTGTGGTTGGGTACACCTCTGTCACTGTGTGGTTGGTTACACCTCTGTCACTGTGTGGTTGGTTACACCTCTGTCACTGTGTGGTTGGTTACACCTCTGTCACTGTGTGGTTGGGTACACCTCTGTCACTGTGTGGTTGGGTACAGCTCTGTCATTGTGTGGTTGGGTACACCTCTGTCACTGTGTGGTTGGGTACACCTCTGTCACTGTGTGGTTGGTTACACCTCTGTCGCTGTGTGGTTGGGTACACCCCTGTCGCTGTGTGGTTGGGTACACCTCTGTCACTGTGTGGTTGGGTACACCTCTGTCACTGTGTGGTTGGGTACAGCTCTGTCGCTGTGTGTGTACACCTAGCCACTGTGCGTGTGCACCTTCCGGTCACTGCTCTCAGCTATTGATCAATAGAACTATCGATTCTGTTCTGTCAGTCTCTCTCAACACAACACCCATATTATATTAACACCCAGCAAGCAGAATTTGGCAAATTCAATTTCCTGGTTGTTAACTGGTATTCTGGTTGAGGAGATGCCATGTAACCAGGTTACAACCAGATGGTTTCTGTAGAAACCGTGTAAAGACGTATCTTTCATGACGACTTGAAGAAGTCATCGAAAATACTTCATATTGTCATCTGGTCAGATTACAACCAGATAAAGACGTCTTTTTCCTGGTTGCTAAAAAGCGATATCAAAACTTGTTACAACTAGTATACAGCTGGACCATGACATCATAAAAGACGGCATAATGATGTCATCGCCACCAGTTTGTTTGTTGGGTAGGGGGCCGAATATCCTGACATCAGCAATGTCTCCAGTTACCACTCGTCTTGTTACAATAGCTAAGCCTTTTCAGTAGCTGTAAGGATACTTAGGATGCATGCTAGAGGACACACAGTGTAAGAGTGAAGGAACAGTCTATTTTATTACCTCGTCATGGTCAATGTCTGCATCACCCGAGATTACGATTCTCTTCTCGATCCTCGTTTCCGAGATGCCACCTTTCACAGTCTGGAAAAAAATGTAATTGAATTTGAGGGACATTTCAGACAAAAAAAAACTTCGCCTAAAGGAACCCACAGCTGTGGTATTGGAAGCACCAAGCTCGAAACCAACTGAGCCATTGGAACCACCTAATAGTGAAATTATATGCACCACTAACAAACCAGTGGTATCCATGCCCCCGCCCTATTCACTCATACAGTATGCTACCCATGCCACTGGGTCATTCCATGAAATTAGTCCCTTTTGGGTAGTGGAACTTGGTGAATTTTTATTTTAACATTCTTTATTTTAAAGATCACATGTTCAACTTAATAAAATAAAAAATAAAAGAACGACTATAGTAAGTGCCAAATAAAGTAACAGGGTTGACCGTAACAGGGTTGACGATTTCATCTTAAATCAGCCATAAATCCCCTTGTGACAGGGGTAATGGAAGCTTGTTTTTACATTTACATTTTAGTCATTTAGCAGACGCTCTTATCCAGAGCGACTTACAGTTAGTGAATACATATATTTTTTTATATTTTTTTTATACTGGCCCCCCGTGGGAATCGAACCCACAACCCTGGCGTTGCAAACGCCATGCTCTATCAACTGAGCTACATCCCTGCCGGCCATTCCCTCCCCTACCCTGGACGACGCTGGGCCAATTGTGCGCCGCCCATGAGTCTCCCGGTCGCGGCCGGCTGCGACGCAAGCTTCACAAAAAAAAGGAAATCATTCAGCGATCATACACTGTTTACCAGGGGGGAGGGCTACCGAGGTAAAGGCTAATCTGAAGATGGTGCTGGCTAAGGCAAAAACTGGCGAGTGTAGAGACTATAGGGATATTGTTATCCACGTCGGCACCAACGATGTTAGGATGAAACAGTCAGAGGTCACCAAGAGCAACATAGCTTCAGCGTGTAAATTAGCCAGAAAGATGTGTCGGCATCGAGTAATTGTCTCTGGCCCCCTCCCAGTTAGGGGGAGTGATGAGCTCTACAGCAGAGTCTCACAACTCAATCGCTGGTTGAAAACTATTTTCTGCCCCTCCCAAAAGATAGAATTTGTAGATAATTGGCCCTCTTCCTGGGACTCACCCACAAACAGGACCAAGTCTGGCCTGCTGAGGAGTGACAGACTCCATCCTAGCTGGAGGGGTGTTCTCATCTTATCTACCAACATAGACAGGGCTCTAACTCCTCTAGCTCCACAATGAGATAGGGTGCAGGCCAGGCAGCAGGCTGTTAGCCAGCCTGCCAGCCTAGTGGAGTCTGCCACTAGCACAGTCAGTGTAGTCAGCTCAGCTATCCCCATTGAAACCGTGTCTGTGCCTCGATCTAAGTTGAGCAAAACTAAACATGGCGGTGTTCGCCTTAGCAATCTCACTGGAATAAAGACCTCCTCCATTCCTGTCATTATTGAAAGAGATTGTGATATCTCACATCTCAAAATAGGGCTATTTAATGTTAGATACCTCACTTCCAAGGCAGTTATGGTCAATGACCTAATCACTGATCATAATCTTGATGTGATTGGCCTGACTAAAACATGGCTTAAGCCTGATGAATTTACTGTGTTAAATGAGGCCTCCCCTCCTGGTTACACTAGTGACCATATCCCCCGCGCATCCCGCAAAGGCGGAGGTGTTGCTAACATTTACGATTGCAAATTTCAATTTACCACCCCAAAAATGACTGCGTTTTCTTCTTTTGAGCTTCTAGTTATGAAATTTATGCAGCCTGCTCAATCACTTTTTATAGCTATTGTTTAAAGTCCTCCTGTGTTACAGGAGGGAGTCGCAGTTCCGGAGCGACCCACTAGGTGTCATCCTCCCACAACCTTAGGCACCTCTTACTCACAGTCTGGACCAATCATCATCCAATTGGTGTCACCTTTGTCAGTTTTTGCTGCTAGTTTCTCTATGCTCAGCAGTACTAATCAGTGTCTGATCTGAGAAGTATGTACAGGTACTCGAGAAGTGTTCTCCCTGTTTCTTTATTATTTCAGTCATAGATACTATTTCGTATTTTGGCTGTCAGCCTGTTTTTGGAGACTTATTTGCTCCACCTTTCTTTTATCATGTTAAGTCCGTTGTTTTGTATCCTGGCTTCGGAACCACCAGTAAAGATCCTTGTTTCACCATCTCTGCCTACTGCCTACTGTCTATCCTGCACCGCACCTGGGTCACACCTCACACCAACCCTTACACTCCTGGGCCGTATACAGAGTTCCTCACTGAGTTCCCTGAATTCCTATCGGACCTTGTAGTCATGGCAGATAATATTCAACTTTTTGGTGACTTTAATATTCACATGGAAAAGTCCACAGACCCACTCCAAAAGGTTTTCGGAGCCATCATCGACTCAGTGGGTTTTGTCCAACATGTCTCCGGACCTACTCATTGCCACAGTCATACCCTGGATCTAGTTTTGTCCTGTGGAATAAATATTGTGGATCTAAATGTTTTTCTAGATGCCCTTCCAGACTCCCTCCACCTACTCAAGGACATTGGAGTACAAAAATCAGTTAACGACCAAACTGAGGATCTAAATGTAACCTTGCGTAATACCCTAGATGCAGTCGCACCCCTAAAAACAAAAAACATTTGTCACAAGAAACTAGCTCCCTGGTATACAGAGAATACCCGAGCCCTGAAGCAAGCTTCCAGAAAATTGGAACTGAAATGGCGTTCCACCAAACTGGAAGAATTCCTACTAGCTTGGAAAAAATGTACAGTGCAATATCGAAGAGCACTCACTGCTGCTCGATCATCCTATTTTTCCAACCTAATTGAGGAGAATAAGAACAATCCAACATTTATATTTGATACTGTCGCAAAGCTAACTAAAAAGCAGCATTCCCCAAGAGAGGATGCCTTTCACTTCAGCAGTGATGAATTCATGAACTTCTTTGACGAAAAGATCATGATCATTAGAAAGCAAATTACGGACTCCTCTTTGAATCTGCGTATTTCTCCAAAGCTCAGCGGTCCTGAGTCTGCACAAAACTGCCAGGACCTAGGATCAATGGAGACACTCACGTTTTTTTAATCCTATATCGCTTGACACATTCATGAAAATAGTAATGGCCTCTAAACCTTCAAGCTGCATACTGGACCCTATTCCAACTAAACTACTGAAAGAGCTACATCCTGTGCTTGGCCCTCCTATGTTGAACATAATAAATGGCTCCCTATCCACTGGATGTGTACCAAACTCACTAAAAGTGGCAGTAATAAAGCCTCTCTTGAAAAAGCCAAACCTTGACCCAGAAAATGTAAAAAACGATTGGCCTATATCGAATCTCCATATCTTCTCAAACATTTTAGAAAAAGCTGTGGTGCAGCAACTTACTGCCTTCCTGAAGACATATAATGTATATGAAACACTTCAGTCTGGTTATAGACCCCATCATACCACTGAGACTGCACTCGTGAAGGTGGTAAATGACCTTTTAATGGCATCAGACCAAGGCTCTGCATCTGTCCTCGTGCTCCTAGACCTTAGTGCTGCTTTTGACACCATCGATCACCACATTCTTTTGGAGAGTTTGGAAACCTTAATTGGTCTACACGGACAAGTTCTTGCCTGGTTTAGATCTTATCTGTCGGAAAGATATCAGTTTGTCTCTGTGGATGGTTTGTCCTCTGACAAATCAATTGTACGTTTTCCAGAAACAAAGAGATCTTCTGTTGGATCTGACAATTAATCTTGAAGGTTTTACAGTCGTCTAAAACAAAACTGTGAAGGACCTCGGCATTACTCTGGACCCTGATCTCTCTTTTGACAAACATATCAAGAATATTTCAAGGAACAGCTTTTTTCCATCTTCATAACATTGTAAAAATCAGAAACTTTTTGTCCAAGAATGATGCAGAAAAGCTAGTCAGTGCTTTTGTCACTTCTAGATTAGACTACCGCAATGCTCTACTCTCCGGCTACCCGGATAAAGCACTAAATAAAATTTAGTTAGTGCTAAACACAACTGCTAGAATCTTGACTAGAACCCAAAAATTTGATCATATTACTCCAGTGCTAGCCTCTGGTAAGGCTAGGGCTGATTTCAAGGTTTTACTGCTAACCTACAAAGCATTACATGGACTTGCTCCTACAGTGCCTTGCAAAAGTATTCATCTCCCTTGGCGTTTTTCCTATTTTGTTGCATTACAACCTGTAATTTAAATGGATTTTTATTTGGATTTCATGTAATGGACATACACAAAATAATCCAAATTGGTGAAGTGAAATGAAAAAAATAACTTGTTTCAAAAAATGCATAAAAATAAATAACGGAAAAGTGGTGCTTGCATATGTATTCAGCCCATTTGATATGAAGCCCCTAAATAAAATCTGGTGCAACCAATTACCTTCAGAAGTCACATAATTAGTTAAATAAAGTCCACCTGTGTGCAATATAAGTGTCACATGATATGTCACATGATCTCAGTATATATACACCTGTTCTGAAAGGCCCCAGAGTCTGCAACACCACTAAGCAAGGGGCACCACCAAGCAAGCGGCACCATAAAGACCAAGGAGCTCTCCAAACAGGTCAGGGACAAAGTTGTGGAGAAGTACAGATTAGGGTTGTGTTATAAAAAAATATCAGAAACATTGAACATCCCACAGAGCACCATTCAATCCATTATTAAAAAATGGAAAGAATATGGCACCACAACAAACCTGCCAAGAGAGGGCCGCCTACCAAAACTCACGGACCAGGCAAGGAGGGCATTAATCAGAGAGGCAACAAAGAGACCAAAGATAACCCTGAAGGAGCTGCAAAGCTCCACAGCAGAGATTGGAGTATCTGTCCATAGGACCACTTTAAGCCGTACACTCCACAGAGCTGGGCTTTACGGAAGAGTGGCCAGAAAAAAGTAATTGCTTAAAGAAAAAAATAAGCAAACACATTTGGTGTTTGCCAAAAGCCGTGTGGGAGACTCCCCAAACATTTGGAAGAAGGTACTCTGGTCAGATGAGACTAAAATTGAGCTTTTTGGCCATCAAGGAAAACGCTATGTCTGGCGCAAACCCAACACCTCTCATCACCCTGAGAACACCATCCCCACAGTGAAGCATGGTGGTGGCAGCATCATGCTGTGGGGATGTTTTTCATCGGCAGGGACTGGGAAACTTGTCCGAATTGAAGGAATGATGGATGGCGCTAAATACTGGGAAATTCTTGAGGGAAACCTGTTTCAGTCTTCCAGAGATTTGAGACTAGGATGGAGGTTCACCTTCCAGCAGCACAATGACCCTAAGCATACTGCTAAAGCAACACTCAAGTGGTTTAAGGGGAAACAAATGTCTTGGAATGGCCTAGTCAAAGCGCAGACCTAATGCCAATGAGATGTGATGACTTTGCTAACCAGCGGAACTACTTGAGGAAAGCTGGGTGTTTGCCTAAGAGTGGCTCAGGGATGAGTTGCCTCAGCAAGCACATACCCTCAAGAGATTGCAGCGATCAGTGGCTTGGAACAAAGCGAATGGCCTACAACAGCTCATCAATTGGAGGGAATCGGGTGGTATATTAAAGGCTAACAAAAAGGAACCAAACCAATGGAGGAGGAGTAATTGACTTAAAGAAGGCATGTAAATTCCCGTGTGATTGTTGTTGCAATTATAGGTCTACAGAGTGACGGTTTCTGTGTGCGCTCATCAAAACTCCGCGTGGGGGGGTCGGCAACAAAGATCACATAGGAAAATGAGAAGGGTCGAATAGGCATAACATTAAAGCCTGACTATTGAGGAGGACTATTGGACTTAGTGCTGGTGTGTCGGTTTTCTGTGTGTGATTACTGGGTTCAACCGTCCATGGTGTCCCTAACAACACACTCCTGGGGAGAGAATAAAATAGGCATGAGACGGAAGCTGCGTTGACTTACCCATGAATGTGATTTCAGTGTGTGTATTACAGGACCCCTGGTCAACTCCACCACGTTGCCCTTGAAGGTGCCTCTGGAGACTTACAGAATGAGAGAGAGAGAGGAAAATAGAGTTGAGGAAGAGACATAGAGAGAGGAGAGGAGGAGAGAAAGAGAGAAAATAGAAGGGAGAGAGAGATAGAGGAGAGAGGAGAGAGGGGAGGAGAGAGAAAAGAGAGAGAGAGAGAGAATAGAGAGGAGAAATAGAGGAGGGAGAGGAGAGTAGAGGAGGGAGGGAGGAGAGAGAGGAGAAATAGAGAGAGAGAGAGAGAGATAGAGAGGGGAGATAGGAGTAGAGAGGAGAGAGAGGAGAGAGAGGGAGATAGAGGGAAGAGAAGAGAGAGAGGAGAAGAGAGAGAGGAGAGAGAGAGAGAGAGGTAAGTAGAGAGAGAGAGAGAGAGAGAGAGAGGAGAAAATGAAAAGATAGAGAAAATAAGATTACACCCTTATATTTATTTATGCAGACACACACACACACACCCAACACACACACCCACACACACAGGCCATCGCATTTGGATGCACACTATTACATTGTATACAGGACACAAGCAATTAATGAATTGAAAGGTCATAGAAATAGAAGGAAAGGAAAAGTACTGAAGGACTTCATGAGGAGCGTCCTCTCTCTGATAGAAGATCAATACAATAATCACAATGAATCTAATCAAATGCATCATCCTGGTCCCTTCACTCAGAATTCATCACAGTTCACCACAGAGTAAGTCTTATTTGGGATTGTGGAAGCATATTAATTCATTTAGGAGAAAGCCAAATGGGTCTACCTGGCAGGATTGTATTGATAAACAATTCCTGTTCCCTTTCACTGAAACGGTCCACATAATTGAAAACGTCTGTGGACTGATAGACAATAACCCTGCAACAGACCGCTATCTATTCAATCTGTGCTTCTCATAGACGTGTGTCCATAAAACATCTTAATTAATTGCTGCTCATGATTGCCACAAAGGTAATCTACCCTGAGTATAACATTAAGAACACTTGCTCTTTCCATGACATAGACAGACCAGGTGAATCCAGGTGAAAGTTATGATCCCTTACTTCAGTCAGTGTAGATGAAGGGGAGGAGACAGGCTAAAGAAGGATTTCTAAGACCTTGAGACAATTGAGACATGGATTGTGTACGTGTGCCATTCAGAGGGTGAATGGGCAAGACAAAAGATTGAAGTGCCTTTGAATGGGGTATGGTAGTAGGTGCCAGGCACACCGGATTGAGTCAAGAACTGCAACGCTGCTGGGTTTTTCACACTCAACAGTATCCTGTCTGTATCAAGAATGGTCCACCACCCAAAGAACATCCAGCCAACTTGACACAACTGTGGGAAGCATTGGAATCAACATGGGCCAGCAGCCCTGTGGAACACTTTCGACACCTTGTAGATTCCATGCCCCGACGAATTGAGGCTGTTCTGACGGCAAAGGGGGGGGTGCAACTCAATATTGGATGGTGTTCTTAATGTTTTGTCCACTCAGTGTATTTCAACATTGGGGAAATGAAGCAACAACAAGTCAGGAAGAAATATGGACCGTTTCCACTGACACTGTGTACATGTGCAGGTCGAAATATTATAGCGTTTATAGTGGCGCTGTAAGAACAAACACAGGCTTGCATAGCACACACACACACACACACACATAACTCCCTCTATGCAATCTTCTACAGTTTTCAGGCTTACTGTATGTACAGCCTGCCTGACCATGGTAATGATTTCCAATAGAAAACCCAGTGGGCAGAAACAGGGACAGGAAACAGTGTTTTCCCTCACCTGCACATCACCGCACACACAGCACCACAGGCTCTAATGGCTACTGTTACTTACTATTGGTAAAGAGAAGGGTCAGGACTGGGGGAGTTGGGTAGCTTATCCAGTGGTAATATGGCCAAGATTGGGATAAATTGCGTGCTTCCTGCTTATTGGTAATACTAGCTAATGGGAGGCCAAGATTGGGATAATTGTGGGAGTATCTTTCGAGTGATATTACAGGGGAATGGGAAGGCAAGACTGCGACAGATTGAGCATTTTCAAAGTAGCATGGGCAATAAGGAATGTGAGACGGGGGTAGCTTTTCCATTGCTATTGCAGGCGAGTGGGAAGGACAGTTAAGGATAGTTTAGGGGAAGCACTTATGAAGAGGTACTACAGGTGAATGGGGCAACTATGGAACATTTTGGGGCTCTTTGGGGTGTTACCTCTGAGTGAGCCCTTGCAGCAGCAACCTCCCCACTGAGACTCTGCCAGGACGCTCCTATAGGAGAGGAGGGCACGGAGGAGGAGGGCACGGAGGAGGAGGGCACGGAGGAGGAGGGCACGGAGGAGGGGGGCACGAAGCGCCCTCTCCAGTCCTGACTGTTCTCTTTCTCCTCCTCTGAGAATGACCCTGCTGACTCCTCTCCCTCCGACTGACTGTCCAGCCCCAGGCCTAGGCTTCCACCCGAGCCTGGGGCTGGAGTTTTCTTCTCGGCCTCCGCCTGCTTCACCGCCGCCCCTATAGCCTTTTCCACGGCGGCCTGGGCTGCGGCAGTCAGGGCCGGCCCCACCGAGGCTATGCTAGCGGCGTCACTAGTGTCACTTGCCTCGCTTGGCGTGTCTGAGTCGTCAGAGTGGTCATCATGCACGCGCAGCACGGACTGAGGCCTATCGTCCTCTATCCCTTCCAGTGAGTCTGTCTCTACCTGCTCAGGTTGCTGCTCTGCCTGGTTCTCCATGTTGTCAGGCTGTTCTGGCTGTGCCGGCTGCTGCTCAGGCTGTTCCTGGTCCTGGTCTTCTTGTTGTTGGGATGATACCACCTCTGTCTGCAGCATGAACCGCTCCACCTTCTCTGTTGTCTAGGAAACAAACAAGTTGTCACCAACAGTCTTCTTGAACCGGCCTGCACTTCAATATGGAGTGAATCTACAGTATTATGGAAGCAGATGGCAAATTAGCATCAATCTGTAAGGTGCCCAATCAAAAACGCATCTTTTGACCAATGGGTAAAATACTTAATAATAATTAATTGTGTAGACAATCCTCTAAGCAAACCAATGGTCCAAACCTTATGTCTCTACCATAATCTGTTCAATAGTTATTGGTGTTTTAACCGTTGTACGGTGGCCAAGATTAGGGTGACTAAAGTGCCTTGCAAAAGTATTCACCCCCCTTGGCGTTTTTCCTATTTAGTTGCATTACAACCTGTAATTTAAATGGATTTTTATTTGGATTTCATGTAATGGACATACACAAAATAATCCAAATTGGTGAAGTGAAATGAAAAAAATAACTTGTTTCAAAAAATGCTAAAATATAAATAACGGAAAAGTGGTGCGTGCATATGTATTCAGCCCATTTGCTATGAAGCCCCTAAATAAGATCTGGTGCAACCAATTAACTTCAGAAGTCACATAATTAGTTAAATAAAGTCCACCTGTGTGCAATCTAAGTGTCACATGATCTGTCACATGATCTCAGTATATATACACCTGTTCTGAAAGGCCCCAGAGTCTGCAACATCGCTAAGCAAGGGGCACCACCAAGCAAGCGGCACCATGAACACCAAGGAGCTCTCCAAACAGGTCAGGGACAAAGTTGTGGAGAAGTACAGATCAGAAGTACAGATGCCTTTTTAAGTCCGACGGAGCACCATTAAATCCATTACAAACCTGCCAAGAGAGGGCAGCCCACCAAAACTCATGGACCAGGCAAGGAGGGCATTAATCAGAGAGGCAACAAAGAGACCAAAGATAACCCTGAAGGAGCTGCAAAGGTACTCTGGTCAGATGAGACATAAATTGAGCTTTTTGGCCATCAAGGAAAACGCTATATCTGGCGCAAACCCAACACCTCTCATCACCCTGAGAACACCATCCCCACAGTGAAGCATGGTGGTGGCAGCATCATGCTGTGGGATGTTTTTCATCGGCAGGGACTGTCAGAATTGAAGGAATGATGGATGGCGCTAAATACTGGGAAATTCTTGAGGGAAACCTGTTTCAGTCTTCCAGAGATTTGAGACTAGGACGGAGGTTCACCTTCCAGCAGGACAATGACCCTAAGCATACTGCTAAAGCAACACTCAAGTGGTTTAAGGGGAAACATTTAAATGTCTTGGAATGGCCTAGTCAAAGCCCAGACCTCAATCCAATTGAGAATCTGTGGTATGACTTAAAGATTGCTGTACACCAGCGGAAACCATCCAACTTGATGGAGCTGGAGCAGTTTTGCCTTGAAGAATGGGCAAAAATCCCAGTGGCTAGATGTACCAAGCTTATAGAGACATACCCCAAGAGACTTGCAGCTGTAATTGCTGCAAAAGCTGGCTCTACAAAGTATTGACTTTGGGGGGGGGGGGGGGGGGGGGTGAATAGTTATGCACGCTCAAGTTCAGTTTTTTTGTTTTATTTCTTGTTTGTTTCACACATTTTTTTATTTTGCATCTTCAAAGTGGTAGGCATGTTGTGTAAATCAAATGATACAAACCCCCCAAAAATCAAGGTTTGTAAGGCAACAAAATAGGAAAAATGCCAAGAGGGATGAATACTTTGACAAGCCACTGTAATTCAGCTTGTGTCATGCTAATTTAGCTTTTTGCGACCCTTGGAAACAACTTTGAAGACGAAGACCACAAAATACAAAAGTTTTTATAAGAAACCTGCACCTCTATGTCAACAGAGCTCGGTGCTTATTATTGGATGTTTTAGGTTACTAAATCCAACTTTTTTCATATAATGTTAATGATATGTTAGAGAAAGTCCCCACAGAACAATTCAGAACATGAATAATTATATTTGTCTTGGTAAAATGTATTTTAGATCATAAGGAAGTGAAATTTCATCACCATAGCAAGTTTTCACCCACTCTGGGCAGAGTGGGTGGACAACCTAGAATCTACTTTCATACAGTAGGGAAGGGTTACTTCATATGTTAGTACCGATGTGATCTTTTTGAATGCATGTATAAATCATTTAACATGGTGTACATTGGATGACCACTTTGTTCCCCACTTTGAGTTATCGAAATTACCTAAAGGTGAAGTAGGGTTGCAAAATCAAATATGCCGGGTGGGTAACGCTCTCATATTCCTCCTTAACCTCTACGGGATTGGTGTCCCGGGACGGTTGAGCTAACGTGCGCTAATGTGATTAGCATGACTGTTGTAAGTAACAGCAAACTTTCCAGGACATAGACATGTCTTATATGGGCAGAAAGCTTAAATGAGTGTTAATCTAACTGCACTGTCCAATTTACAGTAGCTATTACAGTGAACAAATAGCATGCTATTGTTTGAGGAGAGTGCACAACAACAACAAAAACTTATCATGGCAACTGGTTTGATACATTCAGTAATCTTGCTCTCATTTGTCATCCTAATGGTCCCAGAGAATTTTTTTTGCATAGTTTTGTTTGATAAAATCAATTTTTATATTCAAATGTAGGAACTGGGTTCTACAGTTTGAACCCCTGCTGTCTCTGGCGCCACACCCACCCCGCCCGGCCATCTAGATGTGTGAAAGTTAGTGTATTAGCTAATGATCCATCATGTATGACATTCCTGAGAGTGTGTAAACTTACATTTTGTATTACCATTTCATTTTTGTATGCTCTCTATAGTTATGTACTTGAAAATGTATAAATTAACCAATTTGGCACATTTGGGCAGGCTTGATACAAAATAGTCCAGTATTGCAATGCTTCACTGGATCAATCTGAAACTTTGCACACACGCTGCTGCCATCTAGTGGCCAAAATCTAAATTGCGCCTAAAGTGCAATATTATATTGTGGCCTTTCTCTTGTATTTCAAAGACAAGTTTTTTGGTTTGTATTATCTTTTACCAGATCTAATGTGTTATATTCTCCTACATTAATTTCACATTTCCACTAATTTCAAAGTGTTTCCTTTCAAATGGTATCAAGAATATGCATATCCTTGCTTCAGGTCCTGAGCTACAGGCAGTTAGATTTGGGTATGTCATTTTAGGCTAAATTTAAAAAAAAGGGTCCGATCCTTAAGAGGTTAATAAGGCTCAAGGACCATGTGGTGCCTTTGTCTAGACAAAAAAATCCTCCTCATAAACCTGTCCACTGTTTTATTGGCCGGCAGGAAGGACGGACGGATGGACAGGGGACAGAAAAGCCTGACAGACAACACAGTGGCTACAGCGACAACATTTCCTCAACAACAAGGACAACACATCAGGGACAAACAGTACAGATACTAAACAGGTCTTTTGCAAAAGAGATGTTATCTCAATGAGAATAACCTGTATAAAAGGTTAAATAATAATTTAAAAAACGGAGATATGCATGCACTACAACTGCTATCATCCCGTTTGTTGAGTTGTATATTATCCATATGGTATAAGAGGCCACCTTGAACAGGGCCTGACTATAGGCAGGCGAGGCAGTCCAACCCCGCGTGCTGGTCTGATCTCTGGCCGACTGTAAGAGAGCGGTGAGCTCCGGGGACATCTCCTCAAAGGTGGGCTTAGGCTGAGCAGACAGAGAGATGGGGAGAGTCAACACACATAGACACACAGGAGTAGAAGAGAAACACACACACAGTTAGATAGGAAGGAGGAGAGACAAATAGACAGGTCTTTCACACAATGCCCAGACACAAGCTCAGGGGACGGGGGTTGGTGGGGATTATTCATAAGAGCATTGAGGTGATGATTGATCGCTAAGAAAGGTCATTTTAGAAGATTGGGTTTGAGAAAATTGGGTTTGTACAATTTTATTCTAAGGTATTCAAAAGGTATTCCATCAATCACAACCTAGAGTGATATCCATGGTTTAAAGTGATCAACTTCTATAAGACAATGCAAGAATTAAAAAGGTTTTATCAAATTGGTTTCCAACTATTTTAATCCAGTTTGTATGCTATAATATGCAGACAATGCATTTCTTTTACAGAGCACATAGGTAGAAACACCATCCTGTGACATGTCAATCACTGAACTAGAGGTTTTTTTCTCTTGAGAATGTTAGTCACAAAGGCAATAGGTGAGACAGACAAGAGAGTGTCTTGTGTGTCGGAGGGTCTCCTCTTATGAATAGGGCCCATATTATCATCTCAGATCAAGCTGCAGAGAGTTCAGAGAGCGCAAACCCAGGAAAGTCAAAATAAAAGCGGCAGGGCTGAAGCAGTCAGTGGCATACCAACCATAGTATACCATACAATAAGCCAAAGTGTAAAGCATTCATTTGGTGTGGCTAGTAGCATGGGGATCAGCTTAAAACAAAACACGATTATTTTAATTTACAAATCGAAATAAAAGGGGTAAACAATTGCCAGTGCCCATGGAGCAGCAAGTTTTGCTTCGGAAAGCAGTGAACAAATGACACCAAATACCGTGGCTAAGGGATTTGTGTTCAACTAAACAGAGCAAACTATAGAATGAAAATCCCAAGCAATTCCCATGAACATTCAGTTGAGTGCAAAACAGCGCCGGGTCCAGCCTTGTTGCAGTGGATAAGACAACCAGACAGGCTGGGGCGGAAGTAGCTTGAGGATAAAGTGGGGGGATAGGGAGAGGGGGGAATGGGGGGAAAGGGGGGAAAGGGGTTTCAGGCTTTTGGGGGGGGGTGTCATATCATCCTACCACTTTGGAGGGCGATGGGGTTCTGGATAGATAGGACACAGGGCCGGGGCTCAGACGCAGGTCGGCCATTGGAGGCTTGGGCATCGTCATGGGGGACTTGGCCTTTGGGGACTTGGCCATTGGGGAGCGTGGCGAGAGGGGTGTGTGAGGCGCAACAGGGGTGGTGCTCCTGTCTCCCAGGAGAAAAGTCTCCCTCAGCTGCTTCCTGCTGTCTGCTCTCGCGGCATCACTGATGTCCTGGCTGGAGCGGATGGACACCACGGTCCGCATGGCGCCCAGGCCCAGGCCACTGTCGCTGGGCTCGGATGGAGAGGGCATCCTGGCCTCCTGGATGGTGATCATGGAGGGTCCCATTCCCTCAGATGGAGAGGGGGTCCTGGCCTCCTGGATGGTGATCATTGGGGGTCCGATTCCCTCTAGGGGCGGGAGAGTCGAGTGGACCGACACTGGCTTATCGTACTCAGTCGACACCGGGATGATCTTCACTGTGGTGGTGGATTGGTCCGCAGCCCTCTTCAGCTCCCTGGAGAACACCGTCGGAGCGGCCGCCGCCGCCTCCCCACCATCTTTGGCCCGCGTCGTCATGGTGACGATCTTGCCTGACATGGTGTCGTAGGACTTGCCCAGGGTGTAGGTCTTCTCTCCCATCTCCTCAGTCTTGGACGTGAGTTCACGGCTGAAGCTCTCGTATGGTTTGCCAAACTCCTTGATGACTACGCCACCACTGGCACCGGCGAGCGCTCCTTCAGCCACAGCGTTATCGACGGCCATAACTTTATAGTTGACAATGTTTTTCTTTTCGGCTACCTTAGGAGGGACTTTGCTTACTATTACCCACCCGTCAGAGTCCTACATACAAGATACATACAAAGACTGGGGTTAGCCAGTTCAATGGGGGAGTAGGACTTCCAATGGCAGTCCAACTAAGAGCAATAAGGAACCAACTTTAGACTTGAAGGAACATAGAACATAGACAGCAACTTATACACTATATGCAAAAGTATGTGGACACCCCTTCAAATGGGGATGTATCTCAGTTGGTAGGGGATGTAGCTCAGTTGGTAGAGCATGGCGTTTGCAACGCCAGGGTTGTGGGTTCGATTCCCACGGGGGGCCAGTATGATTTTTTTTTACAATCGCACACAGCCATGCAATCGACATAGACAAACATTGGCAGTAGAATGGCCTTACTGAAGCGCTCAGTGACTTTAAACGTGGCACCGTCATAGGATTTCAAATTTCGGCCCTGCTACAGCTGCCCCAGTCAACTGTAAGTGCTGTTATTGTGAAGTGGAAATGTCTAGGAGCAAGTCCCCGCAGCAACGTTCTAACATCTAGCGGAAAGTCTTCCCAGAGGAGTGGAGACTGTTATAGGAGGAAAGAGTGGACCAACTCCATATTAATGCCCATGATTTTGGAATGAGATGTTCGACGAGCAGGTGTCCACATACTTTTGGTCACAGTTCTTAGTTAATAGTGTATTGTTAAAACCGGTCTCTCCGTATTGCTAATTTACAGTAGACCTACATACAGGGTCAAATTAGTCACATTGTCATCCACTGCTGACAATGAATAACATACCCAGCAAACCGGGAACATTCCCCAAAATATTAGCGAAGATTCCCATTAACTTCTAGTTAGGGTTTTATTCAACATTAGGATGATAACATCCCAACAATTTCAAATTATATTTTTGATAACAAAATCTATTTCTTTCCTTATTTTTATATTTTTATGAAATGTCCTTTGAATGTTCTCCTAACATTCACTAAAATGTTGTGCACAACATCTGTAACATCGATCACAGAACATTCCCCAAAAGTTCTCATTAGGTTTCCAGGTAATGTAATAACACAATATACCAGTAATGTTTCTAGTAATGTCCCCACAATGTTCAGACCAGACTGTTCCCAGAAACATTCTGGGAACCTTTAAAGAACAGACTAAATGTTTTCTAGGAACGTTCTTGGAACATCAGGCAAATGTTTTATACAAACATTCTATAATCATCAGCACGACTGGACAGTTTTTGGGTTATGAGAACATTTGCTGTGACCTAACAAATGTTCTGGGGACTTTCACAGAACCAATTTCGGTTTGCTGGATAGGAACTAGTCCTACACTCCCAAATGGATCTTAGGTTAAATGTGTAAGACTCGTCAATAATTCATTGGCGTAGCCGCCTCTAATCTATCCAAGCAGCAGAGACTAAGGTTTTCTAATCACACAGAGATACCTGAACCAACAGATACTGTGTAGTGACAGCTTGGCTACCTACCACAGTAGTCTTAGTATCCACAAGGCTTGATCTCCTCCTCAACGCTACCACCTGCAGCCATGGCACTCTCATCCCCTCTCTCATCCCCTCTCTCATCCCCTCTCTCATCCTCTCTCTCATCCCCTCTCTCGTCCCCTCTCTCGTCCCCTCTCTCGTCCCCTCTCTAATCCTCTCTCTCATCCCCTCTCTCATCCCCTCTCTCATCCCCTCTTTCATCCCCTCTCTCATCCCCTCTCTCATCCTCTCTCTCATCCCCTCTCTCATCCCCTCTTTCATCCCTCTCCTACCCCTCTCGCAGCCCCCTCTCATCCCACTCTCTCATCCCGCGCGTCATCCTATCTCATCCCCTCCTCATCCTCTCTTCATCCCCCTCTCAGCCTCTCAGTCAAGCCCCGGCACCCTCCCAATCCCGCGCGCGCATCCCCTCTTCAGCCCCTCGCCAGCCCCCCCCCCTCGCATCCCCTCCTCCCCCCGCATCCCCCCCCTCCACCCCTCTCTCACCCCCCGCAGCCCCAGCGCTCCTCGCATCTCATCCCCCTCTCATCCCCTCCAGCCAGCCCCGCGCCTCAGCCCCGCTCATCCCCTCTCTCATCCCCTCTCTCCCTCTCTCACCACTCCTCAGCCACTACCGCAGGCTCTCCCACCTCTCGCAACCCTCCGCAGGCAAAGAGCCAATCCCCTCAAACGCTCTATCAGCCCCTCCTCATCCCCTCTCTCTCCCCTCTCATCCCTCTATCATCCCTCTCTCATCCTCTCATCCTCTCTATCCCCTCCCCTCTCATCCCTCTCTCATCCTCTCTCTCATCCCCTCTCTCATCCTCTCTCATCCCCTCTTCATCCTCTCTCATCTCTCTCATCCTCCTCTTCTCCCTCTCTCATCCTCTCTCTCATCCTCTCTCTCATCCTCTCTCTCATCCCCTCTTTCCCCTCTCTCATCCCCTCTCTCATCCCCTCTCTCATCCCCTCTCTCATCCCCTCTCTCATCTCCTCTTTCTCTAAGAGTGTGTGTGATATTTACTCATTGTGTTTGATAAGAGTGTGTGTGATATTTACTCATTGTGTTTGATAAGAGTGTGTGTGATATTTACTCATTGTGTTTGATAAGAGTGTGTGAGGTATGAGATTTCACCAGCGTGTGACGACGGGATCTCTCCAAACGTAGTCACACTGTGGGGTTGATAACAGAGATATGGGTCTGAATGAATGACAACGTTCTCTGCCGAGCGCAGACACAGTCCCTCTTCTTCCAGTAGCTCACAAGTAAAGAATGAAACAAGGTAGCAAGACTCGGCTGAGGGGTAAACTGGCTCCTTTCCACACTTACTTTAATCACATCCCAACAGTCATAAAAATAAATACCGGCTGAAATATGGCGTCGTCGCTGCTACATTAATGAATCAAAAATCCCCTTTCCCTGGTTACATCATCATTGCCATTCTCCCGACTGCTTGATGTTCACACACACACACACACACACACACACACACACACACACACACACACACACACACACACACACACACACACACACACACACACACACACACACACACACACACACACACACACACACACACACACACACACACACACACACACACACACACACACACACACACACACTCCATGTAAAAGAGAGCAGGGTTTCTTCTCCCTAACCCCCTCTCTCTTTTGAAGTCTCTGCATGCTTTTCCATAGCTATAGGGGGGATTATTTTAGCAAACTAAAATGCTTAGCCGAGACGGATGTTTCCAATGGCTTCCTTCTGTCTCTCCCTCCCACCTCCATTTGGCAAGGTTACAGCACAAGGATTTATTACTCAGTCACTGGCCAGGCTGCTACAAATCAATCAAGCCCTATTCTGATGTCACGCTGTAAATTGTACCCTGGTCCTTTCAATGCTGGCTCCTTTTATCTACTTTTGGCTTCAACGGTCGGATATTGTAGCTTACACTTTTTGGCTTCATCAAGGAGCCGCATCGGAATCACTTCCTTTTACAGTGGCTTAACTTCCATTGAAAAACAGGTTGATGCTTGGTAACTATTTTAAAATAGCACTGGAGAAGGAAAGGTAGGTTTCACATGTTATAATGAGGCAGCGATTCTTTCATAACATCTGTCCCTCTATCTACAGTAGCGGGGTGTTAAGCACCCTCCTCCACTTGCATGGATTATTGAGCAGATTTTCAAAGGGAGGCAGTAGAGGCCCCAGTCTCCTGAGACTTGACTGGAGAGAAGGGATCTCATTAATCTCTTTCCCCCTAAACAACCTGAGCTCACACTGCAGCAGACACATCTCAACCTTCAAATCATAGCCTATCAAAAGCGAAGATGTTATTTCTCTTTAGATCAGGGTAGTGTTTGTACATCCAGCAGTTTTTTTTAAAACCTAATTCAGCTTATCAAGGAGCTAATGAGCAGAAGATTAGTAGAATCAGGTGTTAGAGCAGGGATGGAACAAAAACCTGCACACTGGCCACCACTGGAATCTGGTGGCTTCACCCAGTGAGGTTCTCTTAAATGTTTTATAAAGAATTGAGGGGCCTCTAAAAGGTATGTGGATGCCCCCCTCCATTCAGTCCCATTGACAGTGAACTTACCGGTACCTCGTCGAGTTCCAGGGGTTCGATCATGGGTGCCTCGTCGAGGCGCGGCGAGCGCAGGGGGGACGAGGACAGCCTCTTCTCCCATTCGGTAAGGCCAGCCGTGTCGGCACCCGTCTCCAAGAATGACCTCTTGAGCTCACTGATGTTGGTCGCGTGTTTCAACAGCTCCTCCGGGGTGCCCACTGTGTCCTGAGAAGCAACAAGAGGAGGATAAGTCATCTTACTGATAATGATACACTACTGCTACTGTTAGGGTCAGTTACTGTTGGGGTTAGTTACTGTTAGGGTCAGTTACTGTTGGGGTTAGTTACTGTTGGGGTTAGTTACTGTTAGGGTCAGTTACTGTTAGGGTCAGTTACTGTTGGGGTTAGTTACTGTTGAGGTTAGTTACTGTTAGGGTCAGTTACTGTTGGGGTTAGTTACTGTTGAGGTTAGTTACTGTTGGGGTTAGTTACTGTTGGGGTTAGTTACTGTTGAGGTTAGTTACTGTTAGGGTCAGTTACTGTTGGGGTTAGTTACTGTTGGGGTAGTTACTGTTAGGGTCAGTTACTGTTAGGGTCAGTTACTGTTGGGGTTAGTTACTGTTGAGGTTAGTTACTGTTGGGGTTAGTTACTGTTGAGGTTAGTTACTGTTAGGGTCAGTTACTGTTGGGGTTAGTTACTGTTGGGGTTAGTTACTGTTGAGGTTAGTTACTGTTAGGGTCAGTTACTGTTGGGGTTAGTTACTGTTGGGGTAGTTACTGTTAGGGTCAGTTACTGTTGAGGTTAGTTACTGTTAGGGTCAGTTACTGTTAGGGTCAGTTACTGTTAGGGTCAGTTACTGTTAGGGTCAGTTACTGTTGGGGTTAGTTACTATTAGGGTCAGTTACTGTTAGGGTCAGTTACTGTTGGGGTTAGTTACTATTAGGGTCAGTTACTGTTAGGGTCAGTTACTGTTGGGGTCAGTTACTGTTGAGGTTAGTTACTATTAGGGTCAGTTACTGTTAGGGTCAGTTACTGTTAGGGTGAGTTACTGTTAGGGTCAGTTACTGTTGGGGTTAGTTACTGTTAGGGTCAGTTACTGTTAGGGTCAGTTACTGTTAGGGCCAGTTACTGTTGAGGTTAGTTACTATTAGGGTCAGTTACTGTTAGGGTCAGTTACTGTTAGGGTCAGTTACTGTTAGGGTCAGTTACTGTTGAGGTTAGTTACTGTTAGGGTCAGTTACTGTTGAGGTGAGTTACTGTTAGGGTCAGTTACTGTTGGGGTTAGTTACTGTTAGGGTCAGTTACTGTTAGGGTCAGTTACTGTTAGGGTCAGTTACTATTAGGGTGAGTTACTGTTGGGGTTAGTTACTGTTGGGGTTAGTTACTATTAGGGTCAGTTACTGTTAGGGTCAGTTACTATTAGGGTCAGTTACTGTTGGGGTCAGTTACTGTTGGGGTTAGTTACTGTTGGTGTTAGTTACTGTTAGGGTCAGTTACTGTTAGGGTCAGTTACTGTTGGGGTTAGTAACTGTTGGTGTTAGTTACTGTTAGGGTCAGTTACTGTTAGGGTCAGTTACTGTTGGGGTTAGTTACTGTTAGGGTTAGTTACTATTAGGGTCAGTTACTGTTAGGGTCAGTTACTATTAGGGTTAGTTAGGGTCAGTTACTGTTAGGGTCAGTTACTATTAGGGTTAGTTACCGTTAGGTTTAGTTACCGTTAGGGTTAGTTACCGTTAGGGTTAGGGTCAGTTACTGTTAGGGTCAGTTACTGTTAGGGTTAGTTACTGTTAGGGTCAGTTACCGTTGGTGTTAGTTACTGTTAGGGTCAGTTACCGTTGGTGTTAGTTACTGTTAGGGTTAGTTACTGTTCAGGTTAGTTACTGTTAGGGTCAGTTACTGTTAGGGTCAGTTACTGTTGGGGTTAGTTACTGTTAGGGTGAGTTACTGTTAGGGTCAGTTACTGTTAGGGTCAGTTACTGTTAGGGTCAGTTACTGTTAGGGTCAGTTACTGTTGAGGTTAGTTACTGTTAGGGTCAGTTACTGTTGGTGTTAGTTACTGTTAGGGTTAGTTACTGTTAGGGTTAGTTACTGTTGAGGTTAGTTACTGTTAGGGTGTAAATGTTACATGTGTATGTATTTCAAGTCAATATAGCAGTCTTGTGTCATGTTGTTAAAGATTGTATAATATGTTGTATGTCCATGTATAAAAAAATACTGGGAAAAAAATTATATGGAAAACAAAAATGCTACTGGACGCTAAAACGCAAGCTAAAAAACAATTAAAAAATGAGATAGTGAATGAGTTCTGAAATACAAATTCAATAGAAAATCCACTGTGTGTTGTAAGACAAATTACAGATCTGCAGCTGTATGCTGCTATTCAAGCAGCGTGGCTAAGTATCGTCGTGGTGACAGATTGACAAATGTAATGTCCATTACTTTGATGTATGTTTATATTATGTTCACAGCAGCAGTGTAATGAGCTGAATATATAATGTCATAATCTATCCGAAATAGGCAGGACATGCATTCAAAAGAACACTGCAATGCATGTACCTCTCTTTTCTACTGAATTATCTGCATTTTGCGGCGAATCCTAACTGTCACTTAAGTAACATTTTCACTTAGTCTCCCATTGACATCAGTGCATGACTAAGTGGAAGTTCGGATTCACCCCTTTTAAAGAGGCATTCATAGACATCAATAGAACTCAACATCATCTTACTCTCTATCTAGCAATAACTCCCACCTGGCATATCCTGTTAATACAGTATATATTACATCAATAGAACAAATTCCACAAATAAAAGTATGTTAATGAATCAACATTGGACAATATTAGTTCAAAACAACATGTTATTATCATTAGTAAAAACTATGGTTGGGTTTGTGTACTATATCGGTTATAACAACTACCTGTTTGTTATAACAACTACCTGTCAGTTATAACAACTTCCTATCAGTTATAACAACTACCTGTCAGTTATAACAACTACCTGTTTGTTATAACAACTACCTGTCAGTTATAACAACTACTTTTTAACAACTACTGGTCAGTTATAACAACTACCTGTCAGTTATAACAACTACCTGTCAGTTATAACAACTACCTGTTTGTTATAACAACTTCCTGTCAGTTATAACAACTACCTGTCAGTTATAACAACTACCTGTCAGTTATAACAACTACCTGTTTGTTATAACATACCGTCAGTTATAACACACCTGTCAGTTATAACAACTACCTGTCGTTATAACAACTACCTGTTTGTTATAACAACTACCTGTCAGTTATAACAACTACCTGTTTGTTATAACAACTACCTGTCAGTTATAACAACTACCTGTCAGTTATAACAACTACCTGTTTGTTATAACAACTACCTGTCAGTTATAACAACTACCTGTCAGTTATAACAACTACCTGTCAGTTATAACAACTACCTGTCGTTATAACAACTACCTGTCAGTTATAACAACTACCTGTCAGTTATAACAACTACCTGTCAGTTATAACAACTACCTGTTTGTTATAACAACTACCTGTCAGTTATAACACAACTACCTGTCAGTTATAACAACTACCTGTCAGTTATAACAACTACCTGTTTGTTATAACAACTTCCTGTCAGTTATAACAACTACCTGTTTGTTATAACAACTACCTGTCAGTTATAACAACTACCTGTCAGTTATAACAACTACCTGTTTGTTATAACAACTACCTGTCAGTTATAACAACTACCTGTCAGTTATAACAACTACCTGTCAGTTATAACAACTACCTGTCAGTTATAACAACTACCTGTCAGTTATAACAACTACCTGTCAGTTATAACAACTACCTGTCAGTTATAACAACTACCTGTCAGTTATAACAACTACCTGTCAGTTATAACAACTACCTGTGTTATAACAACTACCTGTCAGTTATAACAACTACCTGTCAGTTATAACAACTACCTGTCAGTTATAACAACTACCTGTCAGTTATAACAACTACCTGTCAGTTATAACAACTACCTGTCTGTTATAACAACTACCTGTCAGTTATAACAACTACCTGTCAGTTATAACAACTACCTGTCAGTTATAACAACTACCTGTCAGTTATAACAACTACCTGTTTGTTATAACAACTTCCTGTCAGTTATAACAACTTCCTGTCAGTTAAAACAACTACCTGTCAGTTATAACAACTACCTGTTTGTTATAACAACTACCTGTCAGTTATAACAACTACCTGTCAGTTATAACAACTACCTGTTTGAAACCCCTCATGCTGTTACTGTCCAAACCAAGTCCTTGAGCAAAAGTCCCTACCACGCACTAGTCTGCTGCTCCATACAGTACCAACCTCCAACATTAGCACACTATGTCTGACAAACACATTCTCCCCCTTTATTCACCTTATGGAACTGTTCTGGAAAGAAAATGACAGTTATTTAGATTTTATTGCATGTCAAATCTATATCTCCTCGTAGATTGCAGGTGTTGATTGTGCAGCCTACAGTGATTTTGAATCCCAGGTTCACAGGTTGAATCCCAGGTTCACAACTGTGGATGAAATGAGTGTTAATGCGTGTTAATGCGCCATACTTTAGTTGGTATACCTGTGTCTTTAACTCGGATTCATCCTCCTGGTCCGACTGGCAGCAGGGGAAGCACAGAGAGGGAGTTTGATATCAAAACCGGAATACAACACAGGTTATAGCTTATAAGAGGAACTATCAAATAACATCCGATATTGTTGAAATAGAAATGTGAAACTAAAGAACGTAAGACTTCTAGAAGAAGAGATGAGAGTTGAGGTGACTAGTGACTACCCATGTTACAAACCTCAGTGTCTGTCAGTTCACCATCGACCCCAGTGGCTGTCAGTTCACCATCGACCCCAGTGTCTGTCAGTTCGGTCTGTTTAGTAGCAACACAACAATAGAACATCCAATGGAAAAGCGTGAGGAGAAAGACAACTGTGGTTGTTAGGGTCGAGCATTTCCCACAACTCATATTTACCTAAACATTAGCCATTAGCAAAGTGGTTGAACAAAGTAGTGACAGAAAACTTTTTTTTTTTCGGGGTAAAAAAACAACAACAGGAAATGCATTAAAACAATATTCGGATGACCTATGTCAACATAATACCATTAACATACATTACTGATGACTCCACCAGCTTGAGGTCGATCTACCGCCTTATAAATGTTCATCACATATTCAATTAATGTTAGTAGTTTGCCCTTTGGTTTCTACTAAGAACGCTTATCCTAGGTAACTAGTAACTACAGACATTACATCTGCCAAAGTTCATTCAGTTTAAGCTCCTTGTCATCAATTTGCACACTGAATGAACAGTACATCTAAAAAAGCCATTTTTATTTCTACATTTCAAATAGTCTGGCCCTGCCTGAGTAGAGAAGGTTCAGGTCAGATCTCCATTAGTGAGTTATCAGGGACCTACCTACCTGATAGAGAGAGTGGCAGAGCGTGAAAGCACAGGGTGGAATCCCCAGACAATGAGATTTGTGCTGCTTCGTTACCTTAAAAGGAGAAAGGCTATCTGGCTCTAGTCTGTCTGACAGAATAGCTCTGGCTGACGCTAGCTAGTTTCGACTCTTGGCTCCGGCAATAAACAGCTTTCATTTTCAGTCTGGGCACTCAGAGGAATTTGTTTGAATGTATTATAGAATGCGCTCAGGGGTGGGCTGAGAACTGAGATATTTGATTGGGTGTGGAGAACTATACCTTGGTGTCATGTCGAATGGGAGAGGTTGGACTTGGCTGAGAGATCTCGGTGGCTTTCGTGGTCTCATCCTCCACCTCCTCCTCCTCCACCTCCACCTCCTCCTCCTCCTCCTCCACCTCCTCCTCCTCCTCCTCCTCCTCCTCCACCTCCTCCTCTACTTCCACCTCCTCCTCCGCCTTCCTCTCCTCCACCTTTTTCTCCGGTGTCACCGTGGTGATGAGGTCGCTCATGGCGATGCCCTTCGCCCTTCCGTATAGGTCCGAGCCCATCTCTGAAGCATGCACATAGACGCACATGCACGCACACGCACGCACATACCCACACACACATACACACACACACACATACACACACATACACATACACACACACACATACACACACACACACACACACACACATCATTTTCCATTTAGGGAATTGTCATCTTCCTCTAACTGAGGCAATATTGCAGGTCAGCGGGTTGGAGCGGTAATGCTAATAAGCTGCGGTCTGTATCAGCATAGTTGTCACAGCCATTGACTCAGGAGATACAGGATATATTAAATCCCATTCCTGTTGATAATAACATATTATCAACATCAGAGCCTTTCTATAAAATATGATCTGTAATTAAAGCAATATTCTGAAATCACACAATACTCTATAATCATTGTGTGGTTTGAAATGACAAAGCTGGTCCAGGGCATTTCATATACACTATATATACAAAAGTATGTGGACACCACCACAGCATACAATGACATTCTAGACGATTCTGTGCTTCCAACTTTGTGGCAACAGTTTGGGGAAGGCCCTTTCCTGTTTCAGCATGACAATGCCCCCGCACACAAAGCGAGGTCCATACAAAAATTGTTTGTCGAGATCGGTGTGGAAGAACTTGACTGGCCTGCACAGAGCTCTGACCTCATCCCCATCGAACACTTTTGAGATGAATTGGAACGCCGACTGCTAGCCAGGTCTAATCGCCCAACTTCAGTGCCCGACCTCACTAATGCTCATGTGGCTGAATGGAAGCAAGTCCCCGCAGCAATGTTCCAACATCTAGTGGAAAGCCTTCCCAGAAGAGTGGAGGCTGTTATAGCAGCAAAGGGGGGACCAACTCCATATTAATGCCCATGATTTTGGAATGATACGTTCGACGAGCAGGTGTCCACATACTAGTGTAATATAGATAATGTAGTGTAGCTGCTCATAGAATCTTATCAGCAGTATGATATTATACGACAATATCATAAAGAGTTTCAGGTAATAATATGCCATTTAGCAGACGCTTTTATCCAAAGCGACTTACAGTCATGTGCGCATACATTTTTACGTATGGGTGGTCCCGGGGATCGAACCCACTACCCTGGCGTTACAAGCGCCATGCTCTACCAATTGAGCTACAGAGGACCACAACAGTAAGCGCCTAGCGAAATACCACGGTCCACATTTATGAGGAGAAAATGTTTTTTCTTATTTGCTATCAGTTTCCATGCTGAGGTTTTTATGATAGGTTGACTACCCTCATCATAAATGTTCTATATACAACTTCTGGACTGAAATGCAAAATCACTGATAACCTGTCATTTTTCAGCACCTCTATACGCAGGCCTTACAAACATTCTTTAACTTACTGCAGCCTTTGAATTTCCCCCATTGACTGGAAATCAAAGGCTCAAACTGCACACACTGAAATACCAATACAAAAACTACTGCATCAGAATCTAAACGAGAAAGGTAATCAGAAATACAGTTGGCCGATGCTAAGGTTTGGATGTGCTGGTAAATGACAAATAAAAGGATGTTACATCATTGCTATTAGTCAGTTACAGATAAGAGAATGTACTGCATCCCTGCCGTGGACCCAAACATAGCTAATAAGCAGTATTCTATCATTCTGGCCAGAAAAATACATATCCTAACCAATATTAACTGTATCTAGGTTAACTTGTACCATCTCCCTACATCTGTGACGGCACAGAAAGCACTCTGACTCCATGTTACGAGCTGGGAGAAAAAGTGAGTAATTGTCGAGTCTCCTTATAGATCCGGGTCACATTAGCCAATAGCGGCCAAGCTAACACAACAAGGCGTTTTTGTTTCCTCCATATTTTTGTTAAACAAACAACTGCAAGTGAACAGCTGTGAAGCAATGGCCATGGTGCATTCACATGCTAGGCGGGGAGCCCCCCCAATCAGCACGGGAACATGCAAGTCTGGTCAGCACTGAGGGAGGAGTCTCTAACAAGGGCCCAAAATACAAAACAAAATGGCCACCGTCAAAGAAGAGGAAAGAAGCAGATATGTGATAATTAACTAGCAGGCATAGCTAGCAGGGGCTACATCTACTGTTAGCACGTACAGAGACACACAGTGCATGATATCTACCTGTTGGTTTAGCGCCGTTAAAACTAGCAGGTGATTTAATTCTCGGGGATACAGACTCTGTTTTTTGGGGCGTATTCCTTTTGGGTGAACTCCTATTGGGTGAACTCCTTTTGGGTGAACTCCTATTGGGTGAACTCCTTTTGGGTGAACTCCTATTGGGTGAACTCCTTTTGGATGTACTCTGCGGAGCTGAGGAGGATTGCATAGAAATTCAATATTATTTGGGAAGATTCAACATTAACATGATTACATAATATTATTCAAATCTGAGCATTAGGGAGTCAGCTGAGCACTTGAGAGAAAGAGGGATAGAATATTGTTGGTTTATATTATAATTCTGTAGAGCTATTGACTATGGATTTGAATACATTAATGTTAGAGGATGTGTAAGTTGTGTCTGGTTCACAGTGTTATGGAAAGCCTCGGTTCAGACTAAGAGATGCAGTTAAGTCATACAGTGCTAGAGGATGGATCCACTTTCGGATGGGAGGAGAACAGACAGTCAGACACTGAACAGTCTCCCATCAATGAGGAGTTTAGACATAAATATCAATGTTGCCTTTTCGGTCCAATGATAATGATGAGTCTGAATCAAATATGGTTCCCGAGGCGGCTCATATTCAATTGGCATCACAGCCAACTGGCAGAGTCTCTCTTCCACATCAGTTGGCTAGTGAAATTCTGCCAAAAGAGCTCTTCACCCCTAGATGAGACATCAGCTGGGGACGCCAGCCACAACAATATTTGCATTCAAATGGACCGGTTTTCATCCACAGTTCTGATATGATAGTGACGGCCCACGCCGGCTCACAGAGCTCTGGAGGTCATAAATAAAATGAAAAACCAAATTCTCCAATTAATCAGTGAATGGGGGAGAACGTGGGGAGAACGGGGGAGAACAGGGGAGAACGTGGGGAGAACGGGGGAGAACGTGGGGAGAACGGGCGAGAACGTGGGGAGAATGGGGAGAATGTGGGGAGAACGGGGAGAACAGGTGGGGAGAATGGAGGAGAACGGGGAGAACGTGGGGAAACGGGGGAGAACGGGGAGAACGGGGGAGAATGGGGAGAACGGGAGAACGGGGATAACGAGGATAACGGGGAGAACGTGGGAGAACGGAGGAGAACGGGGAGAACGTGGGGAGAACGGGGAGTACAGGGGAGAACGGGGGAGAACGGGGAGAACGTGGGAGAACGGGGGAGAATGGGGAGAACGTGGGGAGAGACGGGGAGAATGGGAGGAGAACGTGGGAGAACGTGGGGAGAACAGGGAGAACGGGTGAGAATGGAGGAGAACGGGAGAATGGGGGAGAACGGGGGAGAACGGAGGAGAAACGGGGGAGAACGGGGAGAACGTGGAGAGAACGGGGAGAACGGGGAGAACTGGGGAGAAATGGGGGAAACTGTGGAGAACAGGGAGAACGGGGGAGAACTGGGGAGAACGGGGGAGAACAGGGGAGAACGGGGGAGAACGTGGGGAGAACTGGGGAGAACGTGGGGAGAACTGGGGAGAACGGGGGAGAACGGGGGAGAACTGGGGAGAACTGGGGAGAACGGGGGAGAACTGGGGAGAACGGGGGAGAACGTGGGGAGAACTGGGGAGAACAGGGGAGAACTGGAGGAACGGGGGAGAACTGGGGAGAACGGGGGACAAACTGGGGAGAACGGAGGAGAACGGGGGAGAACAAAAGCAGAGGGTCGCCGAGCGAAGATGTCAGAACAACACAATGGGGGCGTCTGGTAAATCCCTGTGGCGAGTATCCGTTCCCTCTTCCTACACAGCCGTCGTCACTACGAGCCATTTAACTGCGGCTTCCTCTGTGAGCTGGCTTGAAAAATAAAGGACATTACCCGTGGTCTGGGTCTGGCTGATAGAGACAGGGGAGAGGGGGACGGCCCTGGCTACTCTGAAGGGGTGAAAAGGCGATGTGAGGGCAGAGCAGCGAGGAGAAAACAATGGTTAAAAGCTGTAATAAGTCTTAGCGGCGTACTGAGGCTTTAGCGACTTCACAGCACGGCTGCTTAGGGACGTTCTCTTGAGCTTTCATGTAGACTGGGAAATGGTGAAGCTATCAAGCAAACGACCACATCCAAGACAAACGGCGACCAAAATGGCTCTGTGGAGAATATAAAGTAGCATTGTCACATCGTTCTAGGGATATTCAAGGGAAAGTATACAAAATACCAATTCCCTATTCACGCCAGTGGCACTTGTAAGCCAAGGCGGCTTCCACCCAGTTACGTAACCCTGCACCTTAGAGGCTGCTGCCCTATATACATAGACTTGAAATCACTGGCCACTTTAATAATGGAACACTAGTCAGTTTAATAATGTTTACATATTTTTGCTTTACTCATCTCATATGTATATACTGTATTCAATTATACTGTATTTTAGTCTATGCTCTCCGACATTGCTCGTCCTAATATTTATATATTTCTTAATTACATTATTTTACATTTAGATTTTGTGTGTTATGTGTATTGTTGTGAATTGTTGATATGACTGCACTGTTGGAGCTAGAAACACAAGCATTTCGCTACACCCGCAATAACATCTGCTCAACGTGTATGTGACCAATAAAATTTGATTTGATTTTGATTTGAATGACAGGTCTGGGAGGACATGAGTGAATTTCAATGGTTGTGAAGACCAAATCATGTGTGATTGATTGACAGATGTCACAAGGTGTGCAGTGGTATGCCCATTATGACAGATGGGTGCATTGATTGATTGGTGCCTTAGATGCATGGTAAAATGTACTGTCTCTTGACACCCTAAAAGCTGAATTCAACAGCTTAGAGACAGTGACTTCAAAATAGGCTGGACATAGAGACAGAGGAGGACAAGGACAACATGATTTACTTGTTCATTTAGGTTGAGTCGTTTTTGATTGATGTCCTGTAGCTAGCTTTTTGGTGGCGCACTGTATGCTTTCAGGCTAACTTTCCCAACACAAACTCTATGGGAAGAAAGGTGACACAATCCTCTTTCATTCGTAAGAGAAATATTGATGGAACTACGAACCTCCGTCCAGGCTGCGCGACATGATGTAGCGCTTGCTGGTGGAGCGCTCAAAGCGTGGCGCCGGGCGGACGATCTGGGAGCTGGCTCGTCGCGTCTGGGCCTGGGTTCTCCCGCTGTAGCGGAACTTAGAACCGAGGTTTAGAAACTTCTTGGGGGGAGTTTCTGGAGACACCAACCTAGAGGACAGAGACAAATGGTGATTCGAAACTTCTTGGGGGGAGTTTCTGGAGACACCAACCTAGAGGACAGAGACGAATGGTGATTAAAAACTTATTGGGGGGAGTTTCTGGAGACACCAACCTAGAGGACAGAGACGAATGGTGATTAGAAACTTCTTGGGGGGAGTTTCTGGAGACACCAACCTAGAGAACAGAGACGAATGGTGATTAGAAACTTCTTGGGGGGAGTTTCTGGAGACACTAACCTAGAGGACAGAGACGAATGGTGATTAGAAACTTATTGGGGGGAGTTTCTGGAGACACCAACCTAGAGGACAGAGACAAATGGTGATAAAACATTTATTGGGGGGAGTTTCTGGAGACACCAACCTAGAGGACAGAGACAAATGGTGATTAAAAACTTATTGGGGGGGAGTTTCTGGAGACACCAACCTACAGGACAGAGACGAATGGTGATTAAACACTTATTGGGGGGAGTTTCTGGAGACACCAACCTACAGGACAGAGACGAATGGTGATTAAACACTTATTCGGGGGAGTTTCTGGAGACACCAACCTACAGGACAGAGACAAATGGTGATTAAAAACGTATTGGGGGGAGTTTCTGGAGACACTAACCTACAGGACAGAGGCGAATGTTGATAAAAAACTTATTGGGGGGAGTTTCTGGAGACACCAACCTACAGGACAGAGACGATGGTGAGGTCAGGAGAACAAGGAGGAGACATGAATCTACGTAGAGGTCAAGAAACTCACACTATTACAGCAGGGATGGGCAAATGATTCTGGAGGGAAGCAGGCTTTTGTTCTAACCCAGCATGAAGATAACCAAGACAATGTACAATAACTATGAATTTACTTTCAAAACCCTACATTGTAATGGCAGATGTCTACACATTGAGGTGGTGGCCCAGGTCTCACCTGAAAAAGGTGTGGTGCTCCACGCAAACCTTCCATAGTCTCTTAGCCGCCCTATGGTTGGGGAGCTTGAACCCGATTGTGCTTTCAAACTGCTCAAACTGACGGCAAAACATACAGAAAAAAACACACACACATGTCATTCTATGTGATGTCATTCTATGTGATGTCATTCTATGTGATGTCATTCGATGTGATGCCATTCTATGTGATGCCATTCAATGTGACATCATTCTATGTGACGCCATTCTATGTGATGTCATTCAATGTGATGCCATTTTACGTACATGAAACAGGATAGGGACACTTCTTTCATGTGAGGTGCTTTCATGTCAGGAGGGCCTTATGCTGATATACTTACCTCTCCGGGGCGTATTTTGATGTAGAAATTATTCCTTTTGTAGGAGATCTTGAGGACCTTGGGCCAGGCGAACCTGTTGATGCGCAGGCGGTCGCGGTAGATCAGAAGACCACTGGAGCACACGCCCAACATGATCTCAACACCCTCGGAATCCTGGGAAGGACCGGCAGGAAAACACAGCATGGTCAAGAACCTGACACTATTCAAACTATACTTTTTATTAATAAACATTTTTCAAAATTACTGAAACCTCTGCAAACTGGGATAAAAAATAAATAAATAGTAACTAGTTTCACATTGAGGTAGCCTGGGTGTCAGTCAGTTTGGGCTTGACTCAACCCACTTATTGGATGTTGTCCTCAGTTTAGGGCTAGTCAACTCCACGCCTGAAGGGCCAAAGTGCTCCTGGTTTTCTTTACTACCTAGTAGTTAATTGATTTAATGATGAATGTCACTAATTGACCCAGAGAGTCCAGAGGTGTTTCGGCCCTCCAGGCCTGGAGTTAAATGGTCCAACTCTACATACATTATGCCCACTCTTTACTAGACTCCTATACCAAGTAGAAATAAGAGAGCTTCCTCTTTTATTTCTTATTTCTCATTTTCTTTGTATTTTATTTTTATTCATTTTTTAAATACTTTTTATATATGAAATACTGTACTGTTGGGTAGGGCTTGCAAGTTAAGCATTCAACTGTTCTTGTGCATGTGACAAATAAAACGTGAACATGATAACGGGAAAGGAGTTGACTAATGCCAAGACAGACTGAAAACCAGGCTAAAAAAAGTGTCTTGATTGTTTAAAAAAAAATTGGTTCACAATATCCAGACACCACCACTTTCTCCTACAAAGAAGATAGATGGCCTAAAACAAGTGGCGATACAGCAAGCCAATTACAAAGCATTTCTCAATAACGGATTCAAATGAGCTTTGTAAAAAATTAAAAATGAAATGAAAACATCATATGTCGACGGACATATTTCACAAACTGTCGCCGAAACCAAGAACTCAAGAGTCAAGAAATTGACCTACATTAACAGAAACCAATTATTTTTCCTAAACCGCCTCTTTTCACAGCTCCCACTTTTACTAGTGATATGTCTGGCTTTGTAGCCAGGAGTAGGTCTTGGGCTCTTTCTCAATTGTCAAACAATTCTGTCCTCACCTCGCCTCTTCTCCTTCATTGCACTGATCTGACAGAAGTGACCAGGTGAAAGCCAAGCTTAATGATGATCTTCCACCATATTGTTTTTACCTGTCACGTTCCAATCAGTGCAGATGAAGTTAAGGAGACGAGGGGAGGCCAGATTTTGAAGCAATTGAGAGCCAATTTACAGAGCACACTGAGGTACTTGTCTTACCTAACTAAATGTATACTGAACAAAAATATAAACGCAACATGCAACAATTTTAAAGATTTTATTGAGTTATAGTTCATAGAAGGAAATCAGTCAACTGAAATAAATTCATTAGGCCCTAATCTATACATTTCACATGACTGGGCAGGGGAGCAGCCATGGGTGGGCTTGAGAGGTATGATTTTTCCCCCCCACAAAAGGGCTTTATTACAGACAGAAATACTCCCCAGCCACTGCCCCCCCCCCTGCTAAATTCTCTAAAACGATGTCGGAGGCGGCTTATGGTACAGAAATGAACATTAAATTCTCTGGCAACAGCTCTGTTGGACATTCCTGCAGTCAGCATGCCAATTGCACACTCCCAAAAAACGTTGGACATCTGTGGCATTGTGTTGTGTGATAAAACTGCACATTTTAGAGTGGCCTTTTATTGTCCCCAGCACAAGGTGCACCTGTGTAATGATCATGCTGTTTAATTCGCACCTGTCAGGTGGATGGATTATCTTGGCAAAGGAGAAATGCTCACTAACAGGGATGTAAACAAATTTGTACACAACATTTGAGAGAAATAAGCTTTTTGTGCTAATGGTACATTTTGGGGCTCTTTTATTTCACCTCATGAAAATTGAGACCAACACTTTACATGTTGCGTTTACATTTTTGTTCAGTATAGTTTAGGGTAGTAATGAGCAACACTCAGGTATTTTCAGCTGTGCTGTACTATGAACTATGCTCCAGTTTCATGATCCATGGATGCTGAAGGTCTACAAGGCTGCAGTGGGCATTTTGTCTAAACATTAATTTGCACACCTAAGTACATCGCAATATGATGGCATTGCAAGGATAGTGAATGTAAGGGTGATGGAGGAGTCTATCACTCATGAGGCAGAGCCTATGACTGCAGTGACATCTACTCTCGTCTAAAATCTAATGCTATGTTCCAATGTTCACACTAGCATCCCACTTAAAATGCATGCCTTCTTGCTTCATTCAAGTGGCATGTTAGTGTGGATATTGGAACGTAGCCTATGTGGGGCTAAGATGGCAGATACTAGTCACATGACATCACAATGAAGAGGCCTTCCCCAAAAGGTCTTGAAGTCTGCAGATCAACACAGTCGGGGTGTCACAGAGCAGATGGGGGGACAGAGGGGGGGTCCACAACTCCCTGTGAGTGGGATATGAGCACTGGAGCTATGAGGGAGGGGTGTGTGATGTCCTACACCTCACAACAGCCACATAAGAGGCTACAACTACAGGCATCCACAATGCCAACTCGAAACTGTGGTGAGCCAACCCACAGCCCCAAACGATGGACTCGAACAGTCCATGGTCATGCACAAAGACAGGGGTTTTTCAGACAGGGACACATGTAACACACATGTAACATACATGTACCTCTACATACACACAAACAAAATGCAAGCCTTACCTTGCCCTTAGCTGGAGACAAGCACTCAAACAGGCTTCCTACCAACTATTCAGTAAGAATAAGAAAAAACAATCATTGGCTGTTCTGACCAAACAGAGGGAGGGTTTCCATGCTATCAGTGTCCTCTCTTATTTGGTTATTAATGCAAATCTTAAGTGCTATAGCAGCATGTCATTATTTAATTCTTATAATTTTCAAAGAAAAAACACTATGTTTACTCTCTTACACATTTGGTGTGAGGAGAGTGTTGTGAATTTTTTTTTGTTTGAATGATTTTTCCACATGGTGCGTTGGTTCACATGAGGTTCGGATGATATAACCCAATCAATAGTTGGGTCAGGCTGGCAACAGACATTTAAATGTCCAAACAATGTTTCTTTGATGAAGACAAAAATTTGCCATATTTGTAAAAAGTTAAGCTACAATAAAATAAAAGCTACTTCTCCTCTACTATTGTTTCTTGAGTATATTCTATCTGACAATGTTATTTTATCTAATTGTGCCATATCCATTCAAATCTATGCCAGCGAATTGGGCCAGAGTTTTTTGATCTACTTGGTTACGTAGATTGGGGTAGTTAGTCCTAAAATGTGATCCCCAGCTGACATGGCAAACAACAGAAACAACCAACAGAGTTACAAAGGAACAATATTCAACACAAAACAGACATTAGCAAGTAATGGGCAGACCATGTCTAGTGTAACCACCTCTGATAGGCTAAATTCAGACCATGTCTAGTGTAACCACCTCTGATAGGCTAAATTCAGACCATGTCTAGTGTAACCACCTCTGATAGGCTAAATTCAGACCATGTCTAGTGTAACCACCTCTGATAGGCTAAATTCAGACCATGTCTAGTGTAACCACCTCTGATAGGCTAAATTCAGACCATGTCTAGTGTAACCACCTCTGATAGGCTAAATTCAGACCATGTCATATGTAACTCTGTGTTGTTGTTTTTATCGCACTGCTTGCTTTATCTTGGCCAGGTCGCAGTTGTAAATGAGAACTTGTTCTCAACTGGCTTACCTGGTTAAATAAAGGTGAAATTAAAAATACATTTAAAAAACACCTCTGATAGGCTAAATTCAGACCATGTCTAGTGTAACCACCTCTGATAGGCTAAATTCAGACCATGTCTAGTGTAACCACCTCTGATAGGCTAAATTCAGACCATGTCTAGTGTAACCACCTCTGATAGGCTAAATTCAGATCATGTCTAGTGTACAAACTGAATTCATTCATTTCGTAGCAAGGTTAAACTAAACTAAACTTCTTTCTCCTAGACCTGGAGTGGGTTTTTGAGGTGTCACTGAGAGCAGTACACAACACCATGGATTGGATCTGAGGGATCAAACAACAACGATCCAAATGGCTATTGAAGCTGCTGGGGGTCAAAGGACAGGGAACCATGCAGTATCATGCAGGTCATAACATGGCTTTTTCAATTCATGACAGGGCTGGCATTTTGAAAAAAACAACAACAGGGTTGGGGTCAATAACAGGTAGCCTGTTTTGTATAAGTTGAATAAGGCCCCTTTACCTTGGCATGGTGCAGGTCAACTCCGTACATGGACAGCTTCTTCACGTTTTCCAGGAAGTGCATCTCAGCGTCAGCTGGAGTCATTCCTCTGGAGAGATAAAGATACACAGCGTTTTGAATGGGTTTTTGACAGCTACTTTTGAGACCATGACCTTCTCTTCCATTAGGTTAGACAGACGGACAGACACATGTACAGACCACCAGACTGACTTGTGGTTCTAGACAGACAGATGGACAGACAGCCAGACTGACTTGTAGTTCTAGACAGACAGACGGACAGACAGACAGAAAAAAAGGTGCTATCTAGAACCTAAAAGGGCTGTCCCCATAGGAGAACCATTTGAAGAACCCTTTTTGGTTCCAGGTAGAACCCTTTTGGTTCCAGCTAGAACCCTTTTGAGTTTCATGTAGAACCCTTTCCACAGAAGGTTCTACATGGAACCCAAAATAGTTTTACCTGGAACCAAAAAGGGTTCTACCTGGAACCAAAAAGTGTTCTCGTATGGGAACAGCCGAAGAACCCTTTCGGAACCCTATTTTCTAAGAGTGTAGTTCTCAACAGACAGACTAACTTGTAGTTCTTGTGCAAGTCCATGACCTTCTCCTCCAGCTCTTTGGTCTGGTTGGGGGCGAAGCGGAACTCACTGACGTAGTCCGTCCCAGACTCCTCGAGATCGTAGTCCCCCAGCTCTGATTGGACCGTGTAGGATCCCAGCACCGTGTGGGTGGCGAACGAGCACGGCAGACGCCCCGACACCACGTCATCCCTCAACTGGAGGCACAGGTAATATCTGGAAGGGAGAGAAGGGGATGAGAGGGTGAGGGACAGATAGAGAGGGGGGGGGGGGGGGGGGGAAGGGAGAGTGAGGGGATGAGAGGGTGAGGGACAGATAGAGAGGGGGGGGGGAGAAGGGAGAGTGAGGGAGGGAGTTTGTGTCATGAGGAGAGAAAAAAGTGTGAGAAAAAGAGAGAAAGAGCGAGAAAGAAGAGAGAGAAAGAGAGAAAGAGAGAGAAAGAGAGAGAGAGAAAGAGAGAGAAAGAGAGAGAAAGAGAGAAAGAAAGAGAAAGAGAGAGAGAGAGGTAATTGGAAACAAAATGACAAAGCACAGTATTGCATTGATAAAAAAAAAAAAAGTTGTTATTATGCTTATATACACTGCGTAAACCAAACATTAAGAACACCATCCTAATATTGAGTTGCACCCCCTTTTGCCGTCAGAACAGCCTCAATTAGTCGGGGCATGGACTGAAAGAGTTCCACAGGGATGCTGGCCCATGTTGACTCCAATGCTTCCCACAGTTGTGTCAAGTTGGCTGGATGTCCTTTGGGTGGTGGACCATTCTTGTTACACACAGAAGACTGTTGATCGTGAAAAACCCAGTCAGCGTTGCAGTTCTTGACACAAACCGGTGTGCCTGTCACCTACTACCATACCCCGTTCAAAGGCACTTAAATATTTTGTCTTGCCCATTCACCCTCTGAATGGCACACATACACAATCCATGTCTCAAATGTCTCAAGGCTTAAAAATCCTTCTTTAACTTGGCTCCTCCCCTTCATCTACACTGATTGAAGTGGATTTAACAAGTGACATCAATAATGGATCATAGCTTTCACCTGGATTCACCTGTTCAGTCTATGTCATGGAAAGAGCAAGTGTCCTTAATGTTTTGTACACTCAGTGTATATCCCAGGCAATTCACACAGGTATTAGGTGAATATAAACATAAGTCTACCAGATCCCAAAGGTACAAGGCTTCTTGAAAAACACAAGGACCAAGTGGACTATAGAAAGTGTAACCTTGTAATATCCTCAGACAGCTGGGCAGGGTCTGGAGGGTAGAACTTCACATTGAATGAAAAATTCCAGGCGGCTCCTGCAGTGTACGAAAACAAAGGTTTAATTGAAATGATCATTAAACAGCAGGAAAGATCCCAGATTGTGCCTTTAAGCCTGAATAACTAGCATGCTGGCTAACTTTCAAACCATGAGGAGAAATAACATTCAAAAACCCATATTCTACGCACCTCTGATCTGTTTCTTCATCTCCTTGGATTGGTCTAACCAGTTCTGGTTCAAGAGTTCAAGAGGACAGTGTTAATTCACTTCAAAACATGTTCAAAACACCCCTAATTACACAGCAAAATCAACAAGACAAATTCCACCTTTTGGTTTTCGATGTCCCGGAATGTGATGCCAAAGTAGTCCTTTTCCAGGAGGTTGAGCTGCTCACACACTTTGTCAAATAACACATGGCCTCTCTCCCGTTTCTGCAGATGGAGACGAAACACTTAGATTAGCCTGTATTCTAATATTCCTGTAATTATACATTGGACAGATGTATACTGCGGCATACAATTCTTCGGATATCAAACCCCTCCTTAATGGCAACGGCATCCCATCGCACTAAATTGTGATATATTCCTCCCACCGGTTCGGGAACCGTTTAATGATGATAGCACTAAAGAAGAGAATCCACACATGTCCATACATGACTCAACTCTCTACAGGGGAAGAGGTCGCCTCTTAAAAGGGCTTCACTCCCATCTCCCAGCATCACACCATTTTGTGTCACATCATGATTAGTGTACTAATGACTGCTACCCTGCCCTCGCGGGGAAAGATCCAAGGCTCCCTGCCGCCACGATACGTCAACCTGTGAGGCTCCTATTGCAAGCTCTAAATAAGCAACATGCCTTAACGCTCTGTAAAAATAGCCCAATGAGGTACTTATACAGTGCCGTGAAAAAGTATTTGCCCCGTTTCAGATTTTCTCTATTTTTGCATATTTTTTATACTGAATGTTATCAGATTTTCAACCAAAACCTTCTATTAGATAAAGGGAACCTGAGTTTATATACTTATTTTATTTATTTAATTAACAAAGTTTTGCAACACCCAATTCCTCTGTGTGAAAAAGTAATTGCCCCCTTACACTCAATAACTGGTTGTGCCACCTTTAGCTGCAATGACTGCAACCAAATGCTTCCTGTAGTTGTTGTTCAGTCTCTCACATTGCTGTGGAGAAATTTTGGCCCACTCTTGATGCAGAACTGCTTTAACTCGACATTTGTGGGTTTTCAAGCATGAACTGCTCGTTTCAAAGCCTGTCACAACATCTCAATTGGGATTAGGTCTGGACTTTCACTAGGCCATTCCAAAACTTCAAATTTGTTGCTTTTTAACCATTGTGATGTAGACTTGATTGTGTGTTTTGGATCATTTTCTTGCTGCATGACCCTGCTGTGCTTCAGCTTCAGCTCAAATATGGATGGCCTGACATTCACCTGTAGATTTCTCTGATACAGAGCAGAATTCATGGTTCCTTCTAATAAGGCAAGTTGTCCAGGTCCTGAGGCAGCAAACTATCCCCAAACCATCACACTATCACCACCATGCTTGACCTTTGGTATGAGGTTCTTACTGTAGAATGCAGTGTTTGGTTTTCACGAGACATAATGGAGACCATCTCGTCCAGAAAGTTGACTCAACTTTGCCAAAAAGCACCTGGCTGATCATCAAGACTATTGGAAGAATGTTCTATTGACAGATGAGTAAAAAGTATAACTTTTTGGACGACATGGGTTGTGAAAATTCAAATGCGCCGCAGGAAATTCAAATGAGCTTTGTGATTTACATAAATTCACGAAAAACCCGCAGTTATCTTTATCTCTCGGTCGCTCAAGCGCTAAAGCATCAGACAGAATACATTTCCTACTATTGTAGGTCCTACTACTGCGACATTCAAATGTACAAAAATGTATCTGAAATGCAGCCATACACATCAACAACTGTTGTTTTACATAGCTTAATAACACAATATATATTGTTCTCCACTACGACATACAAGTGTATCCGAAATGCAGGACCTAAACTATAGCCCACTGCAGCCTATGAAAATCTATTTCCCGTTAGAAATGATCACTTAAAAAATATATATATAATCAAATGCTACAGATGCAGGATTATTTTACACCTGCGACGAAACTGGCCAAATTCAGATCCCTTCCAAATATGTCACCTTGAAACGGAGAAAGATTATGAGGGTTATTTTGTAAAGAGTGTTTCTGGAGTAAAAAGAAAAAAAAGGTTCCAAAAGGGTTTATCGGTTATCCCCATAGGAGAACCCTTTTTTAGTTCCAGGAAGAAACCTTTTTGTTTCCATGTAGAACTATTTTGGGTTCCATGTAAGGGTTCTAAATGGAACCCAAAATGGTTCTACTTGGAACCAAAATAGTTATACCTGGAATCAAAAAGTGTTCTTCAAATGGTTCTCCTATGGGGGCAGCCGAAGAACCCTTTTCGGTTCTAGATAGCACTTTTTTTTTCTAAGAGTGTAGCTAGGTTTGTTAAAACTGAGACAAACTAAATCTCTGCAGCGTACCATCACCCCCCATTGATCCTGACGTACACTGAGACTGTTGTTTCATCTGTCCACAGAATCCTCAAAGACTCAGATAATGATCTCTCTCATCACGAACAGAGAGAGAAAACTCCTCCAAGAAAAACAACTCTGCTCCTTCTGTTGTCACTTCTTCTGAAAGCGTGGGATCAAAATGAATACTTGAGATGGGCTCTACAGAAGTTATCCCATTCAAGCCAAAAATAAAGTAGAAAAACAACTGTGTGTGTGTGTGCGGGTGTGTGTGCATTTGTGTGTGTGTGCAGCAAGAAACATACAGGAGGCAAGAAAATCCAAATTCTTTATAAATGAGGAACATGCTTATGGTAGGTCTCAGTGATTTACAGTGAAGCGCGGTCAAGCCATTTCCCAGGTCGTACGGCCCTTTGGGGAACCACTTAACCACTGTAACCTCATTAAACAATGGCCAGTAATATAGGAACAATCTAAGCTTCAGGTAACTGCCAAAATAAAGGAAATACTTGAGTAAATGAGGGATACAAAGTATATTGAAAGCAGGTACTTCCACACAGGTGTGGTTTTTGGAGTTAAATTAAGCAATTAACATCCCATCATGCATAGGGTCATTCATAAAAATGCCCAGTTGCTCATTATTTTGGCTACCATGGCTAGAAGAAGAGATCTCAGTGACTTTGAAAGAGGGCTTAAAGGGGTGGGGGTTAAAGTGTGTGTGTGTGTGTGTGTATGTGTGTGTGTCTCAGTCACCAGATCTCAACCCAATTGAACACTTATGGGAGATTCTGGAGCGGCACCTGAGACAGTGTTTTCCACCACCTTCAACAAAACAACAAATGATGGAATTTTCTCATGAATGGTGTCATGAAGCTGTTCTGGCGGCCGGTGGCCCAACGCCATCAAGACGCTTTATGTTAGTGTTTCCTTTATTTTGGCAGTTACCTGTATGTGATTTAGCCTTGGGCAGCCAGCGGCTAACGCTAAAGAGGATCTGCTCTGCAGCCTCAATTTCCTCTCCAGAAGGAGCACTTCAGCGATGTCACTCACTGTCTGAGTGATCCAAAAAACATCCAAACAAAGAATGTATCTAATGAACCACAAGGACAAACAGAGATGGAGAGAAAAACATGTTTTCACTTCCCTAGCCGCCACTACGCTACGTCACTACACCCATTACTAGGAGTGTTGTCATGGCATTGATGGGGACTGATGGATAGATAATTGGAATGTTGTTTGTGTGGTAGGTCAGAGCGACATTGATGATTCAGACCATTTGAGCCAGAAGCGATGTGGCATGTCACTGCGACATCATCATGCCCCTCTCTCTTTTTATCCCCTCAGTGAACTCTGTCCCTCTCTCGCCCCCTCAATCCTTCTCCTCTCTCGACTCGAGCCTTTCCACTCTCCTCTCTCTTTCCCGCTCTTTTCACACTTCCCTTTTTACTCTGCTGACCTCTCTCTCCACTTTCCTTCCTCTCTCCTGACCTCTATCCCCCTTCTCTCTCCTGATCTCTATCCCCCTCCTCTCTCCTGACCTCTATCCCCCTTCTCTCTCCTGATCTCTATCCCCCTCCTCTCTCCTGATCTCTATCCCCCTCCTCTCTCCTGACCTCTATCCCCCTTCTCTCTCCTGATCTCTATCCCCCTCCTCTCTCCTGATCTCTATCCCCTTCCTCTCCTGACCTCTATCCCCCTCCTCTCCTGACCTCTATCCCCCTCCTCTCTCCTGACCTCTATCCCCTTCCTCTCCTGACCTCTATCCCCTTCCTCTGTCCTGACCTCTATCCCCCTCCTCTCTCCTGATCTCTATCCCCCTCCTCTCTCCTGACCTCTATCCCCCTTCTCTCCTGACTTCTATCCCCCTCCTCTCTCCTGACCTCTATCCCCTTCCTCTCCTGACCTCTATCCCCCTTCTCTCCTGACCTCTATCCCCCTTCTCTCCTGACTTCTATCCCCCTCCTCTCTCCTGACCTCTATCCCCCTCCTCTCTCCTGACCTCTATCCCCTTCCTCTCCTGACCTCTATCCCCCTTCTCTCTCCTGACCTCTATCCCCCTTCTCTCCTGACTTCTATCCCCCTCCTCTCCTGAACTCTATCCCCCCTCCTCTCTCCTGACTCCTCTCTCCTGACCTCTATCCCCCTCCTCTCTCCTGACCTCTATCCCCCTTCTCTCCTGACTTCTATCCCCCTCCTCTCCTGAACTCTATCCCCCTCCTCTCTCCTGACCTCTATCCCCTTCCTCTCCTGACCTCTATCCCCCTTCTCTCTCCTGACCTCTATCCCCCTTATCTCCTGACTTCTATCCCCCCTCCTCTCCTGAACTCTATCCCCCTCCTCTCTCCTGACTCCTCTCTCCTGACCTCTATCCCCTTCCTCTCCTGACCTCTATCCCCCTTCTCTCTCCTGACTCCTCTCTCCTGACCTCTATCCCCCTCCTCTCTCCTGACCTCTATCCCCCTTCTCTCCTGACTTCTATCCCCCTCCTCTCCTGAACTCTATCCCCCTCCTCTCTCCTGACCTCTATCCCCTTCCTCTCCTGACCTCTATCCCCCTCCTCTCTCCTGATCTCTATCCCCCTCCTCTCTCCTGACCTCTATCCCCCTCCTCTCTCCTGACCTCTATCCCCCTCCTCTCCTGACCTCTATCCCCCTCCTCTCTCCTGACTCCTCTCTCCTGACATCTATCCCCTCCTCTCTCCTGACCTCTATCCCCCTCCTCTGTCCTGACCTCTATCCCCTTCCTCTCCTGACCTCTATCCCCCTCCTCTCTCCTGACCTCTATCCCCTCCTCTCTCCTGACCTCTATCCCCCTCCTCTGTCCTGACCTCTATCCCCTTCCTCTCCTGACCTCTATCCCCCTCCTCTCTCCTGACCTCTATCCCCCTCCTCTCTCCTGATCTCTATCCCCTTCCTCTCTCCTGACCTCTATCCCCCTCCTCTCTCCTGATCTCTATCCCCTTCCTCTCTCCTGACCTCTATCCCCCTCCTCTCTCCTGATCTCTATCCCCTTCCTCTCCTGACCTCTATCCCCCTCCTCTCTCCTGAACTCTATCCCCCTCCTCTCTCCTGACCTCTATCCCCCTCCTCTTCTGACCTCTATCCCCTTCCTCTCCTGACCTCTATCCCCCTCCTCTCTCCTGACCTCTATCCCCCTCCTCTCTCCTGACCTCTATCCCCCTCCTCTCTCCTGACCTCTATCCCCCTCCTCTCTCCTGATCTCTATCCCCTTCCTCTCTCCTGACCTCTATCCCCCTCCTCTCTCCTGATCTCTATCCCCTTCCTCTCCTGACCTCTATCCCCCTCCTCTCTCCTGAACTCTATCCCCCTCCTCTCTCCTGACCTCTATCCCCCTCCTCTCCTGACCTCTATCCCCTTCCTGTCCTGACCTCTATCCCTCTCCTCTCTCCTGACCTCTATCCCCCTCCTCTCTCCTGACCTCTATCCCCCTCCTCTCTCCTGACCTCTATCCCCCTCCTCTCTCCTGACCTCTATCCCCCTTCTCTCCTGACCTCTATCCCCCTCCTCTCTCCTGACCTCTATCCCCTCCTCTCTCCTGACCTCTATCCCCCTCCTCTCTCCTGACCTCTATCCCCCTCCTCTCTCCTGACCTCTATCCCCCTCCTCTCTCCTGACCTCTATCCCACTCCTCTCTCCTGACCTCTATCCCCCTCCTCTCTCCTGACCTCTATCCAAATCAAATCAAATCAAAATGTATTTGTCACATACACGTGTTTAGCAGATGGTATAGTGGGTGTAGCAAAATGCTTGTGCTTCTAGCTCCGACAGTGCAGTAATATCTAACAAGTAATATCTAACAATTTCACAACATATACCCAATACACACAACACTAGTAAGGAATGGGATTTAAGAATATATACATATATGGACAAGCAATGACAGAGCGGCATGGACTAAGATACAGTAGAATATTATTGAATAGAATGCAATATATACAGTTGAAGTCGGAAGTTTACATACACCTTAGCCAAATACATTTAAACTCAGTTTTTCACAATTCCTGACATTTAATCCTAGTAAAAATTCCCTGTCTTAGGTCAGATAGGATCACCACTTTATTTCAAGAATGTGAAATGTCAGAATAATAGTAGAGAGAATGATTTATTTTAGCTTCTATTTATTTCATCACATTCCCTGTGGGTCAGAAGTTTACATACACTCAATTAGTATTAGCAGGGGCGGTGTGTTCATTAGGGCGATATGGGCGACGCACTGCCAAACGGGAAAAGGAAGGGATTTTTTTTCTAATCAATTATATCACGGCAACAGTAGTTATCAGTGTTCTAATCTAGACGTCTGATCTGCCACTAAATGTCCAATCAGGCTAAAGTCGTGCTTCAAATGGCCCCGCCCGTTTTGGGGCGATTTCAGTCAGGTTGAAAATCGCCCCAGAAGTCTCTCATAGACTCTCATGTAAAATCTTTTTTTTTTCAAATATCAGAGCTTTCAATACAATCTCTATGGGTTCCGGGAGGGCTTGCACTTACTCGCTTTCGTCATACGTAACATAACCATGAACATAACTAAGAAAAGAGCGGGTAGCAGCGTCAATCAATTCACGTACTACTGTCAAGATGGCTAGCGTTCAGTGCAACTCGATTGTCTCTTTGAAAGAAGTTCCTTTTTGTCGGCGAACAAATCAAGATAAATTGGCAACGAAACAATTAGGACCTCCCAGACCAAATTTAATATTCAACAGGTTTCTACTAAAGGGGGAAAGTCCTACACCCGAGGATTTTCCAAAAATTGGTACGAACGAAAAACCTGGCTAGCAGGCTGCGATGTAGCTAATGCAGTCTTCTGCTACCCCTGCTTACTCTTTCACCCTGAAGCGGCACGGCAGACAGCACCGCTTGGACAGCGACTGGTGTAACGGACATGCACCATCTTTCAGAAAAGATTAAGAAACATGAGCTGTCAAAGACCCACATGGATAGCTGTTTGAGATTGCTTGGGGGCTTTCCCCTTTGGGGCCAGAGTTAGCAAGAACCGCCAATCCTGAAACGGCGAAAGATTATGAGGGTATTTTGTAAAGAGTGTTTCTGGCAAGTAAAAAGAAAAAAAAAGGTTACAAAGGGTTTATCGGTTGTCCCCATAGGAGAACCCTTTTTAGTTCCAGGGGGAAGAAACCTTTTTGTTTCAATGTAGAACTATTGTGGGTTCCATGTAGAACCTTCTGGGAAAGGTTCTAAATGGAACCAAAAAGGTTCTACTTGGAACCAAAATAGTTAGACCGGAATCAAAAAGTTCTTCAAATGGTTCTCCTAGGGGGCAGCCCGAAGACCCTTTTCGGTTTAGGATTAGCACCTTTTTTTTTTATAAGAGTGTAGCTAGGTTGTTAAAACTGAGACAAACTAAATCTCTGCAGCGTACCATCAACCCCCCTTGATACTGACGTACACTGAGACTGGTGTTTCATCTGTTCCCACAGAATCCTCAAAGACTCAGATAAATGTCGATATCATCACGGAACAGAAGAGAAACTCATCCAGAGAAAAACAACTCTGATCCTTTATGGTTGTTCACTATCTGAAAGCGTGGGATCAAAATGAATACTGAGAGGGGTCTTACAGAAAGTTATCCCATTCAAGACAAAAAATTAAAGTAGGAAAAACAACGTGTGTGTGTGTGCGGGTCATCCCCTCCTTCCGCCCCTCTCAGGGCCTTCTACCTCCTTATTGCCCCCTTTTTCGACCTATCCCTTTACCCCCCCTGCAGTTGTCCGTGGTCTTCCTCCTGCCCTGTCCCCCCTCCACTTGAGTTGTTGTGCATTTGTGTGGTGGCAGCCAAGAAAACATACAGGAGGCAAGAAAATCAAATTCTTTATAAATGGAGGAACATGCTTATGGTAGTCTCAGTGATTTACAGTGAAGCGCCGGTTTCAAGCCATTTCCCAGGGGTTACGGCCCTTTGGGGAACCACTTAACCAACTGTAACCTCATTAAACAATGGCCAGTAATATAGGAACAATCTAAGCTTCAGGTAATGCCAAAATAAAGGAAAATAATTGAGTAAATGAGGGAAAAAAGTAATTGAATTGAAAGCAGTACTTCCACCACAGGTGTGGTTTTTGGAGGTTAAATAAGCAATTAACATCCATCATGCCATAGGGTCAACATAAAAAAACTGCCCAGTTGTCAGTATTTGGCGACCAGGATAAGAAAGAAGAGATCT